TTTGTCTTTCGTAAACTAGTGACCATGCATGCTCAAAAGAAAGCTCCTGCTGATATGCAGTGCAAGGACAAGTTCTTGTTTCAGTGTTTTGTGGCTAGTCCCGGAACCAATGCCATCGAAGTTACTGCTAAGATGGTACTATTGAATGTTTTGTTTTCATTGGGATTGCTTCTCTCGTATTTTCTGAGACTAATTAACAGTGTGTTTTCTTTTATCTTATGACCGCTGCGCAGTTTTACAAAGTGGCAGCGAATCAACTTGAGGAGACTAAACTGAGAGTTATCTATGTTGGTCATCCACCACCACCCGTCTCTGACGACAGAGCTGTAATTTTAGCTTTCCACTAATTAGTTTATGCATTTGCAACAAACCTACAATAGCTACTAATTAATTGGCAAAACGTACCATTGTAGAAGTTGATGCCTATCGACTTTTTTTTTTTTTTTCAGGCGAGAGCACTCATCAAAAGGCTCACTGAGGAAAAGAACTCTGCGGTTCAGCTGAACAAAAAACTTCAACAAGAATTGGTAAGGAACTTTCACTTGATCCGTGCCAACTCTATCATGTGTCTGACAAGCTTCGTTTAACTTGTGTTCACTTTTTTCCCAACGCTAACCTCTCTGATTATCAAAACATGTATATGATTGTAGGACCAGTTGAAGCCTAGAAGCAATAAATGTCAGAGTGGTTGTGGAATCAGATGGTTTATTTCCGCAAGAGGCTTAAGAAGAAAGACAGTGAAAGAAGGGGAAGTGGCAATACATATTTGAGAGCTAACTCCAATGATGTTACCCACTATTGGAATCTTTAACACTGAAATATTTTTTTTTTTGTTTTTTTTTTAATAGTTAAGGACCTTTATCATAAATGTATGTTCAATGGTGTTATCTGTTATAGAGTTCTTAGAATTTTATTTTTATTTTTTTGAATTGAATCTTAGAAACTAAAAATTATAAAATTTGAAAAACAGTAAACTTTAAAACTTTTATTTATTGAATGATTAAATGTAAACATACAATAATTAAACATCTTCATCATTACCAAACTTGTTCCAAATATTTTCAATCAAATCATATTTCAATTGTTCATGTATACACCTATCACAAACATGATTCCGTACGCCAAGTATATTACCGAGATTTGAAGGCATGTCGGTAGAATATGACATATCCACCTCTGAACTTCTACTCGAATCTCCTTTTTCAAACTCAGATGTATCGTATTGAGTGTATCCATTAAGTTCATTTTCTACTATCATATTGTGCAGTATGATACATGTTCGCATAAACATCCCTACTTGTCTCTTGTCCCACAAAATAGCTAGGTTTTTCACTATTGCAAATCGAGCTTGCAATACTCCAAAAGCACGCTCCACATCTTTTCGAATTTATTCTTGAACTTTTGCAAATAAATCTGTTTTAGGACCTTGAGGGAGTGAGATAGATTACATAAATGTTGACCATTTTGGATATATGCCGTCCGTGAGGTAGTACACCAATCGCCCAAGTACACATATCCTATTAGGTATGACCCATGTCTTTGTAACCCGACCAAATAATACCCAATAGCTGGTTCGTCCGGCAAGGACTAATATCATATGGAACTCGTACTTAAAAAAAACAATCTTTATATATTATATATTTATTCTTTTAAAAGCATCTTACATAAATGCTATTGGTCGACCTTGAAGATATCGAAACAATCTTTATACATAAGAGTTATCGAAAGATCAATGCAAGGATGACAAAACTACAACTGGCTAATGATGTTCTTTCCCATCCTAGAGCGAGGTCTCCCGCGTATTGGTAAACTGCATCACAAATGAGTCATGAGTAAATAGTTTACTCAGTAAGTCTAATCTCATACCCCAACACATATTAATTATATCCCGAGCAATGAACTTCATTTGTATGCAGTGGATATATATTCCATAACTATTATATATAGGTAAGACCTATCATTCCATCAAAATGAATCTTATCTTAAACATCACTTGCACGTCACCCGCCAATCACTTCATATATAAATACAATATATATACTAAATTCGATAAACCACAAAGGCTAACCGAGCTTTGTGAGTTAGAATTACAATCATCCTCAAACGTCTTAATATGGGTCACTGGGTCGACTGCGGATAAACCACAGATTAATAAATTAATTAATTTTATTATATAACAAAATATTAGCTATGAAAATAAAAAAAGTAACTAAAGTTTAATATTTATAAATGACTTTAAAACATAAAATAAGAGTTTAGATTTGTATATCTTTTATGTTTAAAAACATTTTAAAATATTTAACTTTAGTCTTATATTTTTTTTTCATTTGACGTACAAAATATCAAAAATAGTTTAGACTATTTTTTTATATAATAATTAAGAGTTATGATATCTAAAAAAATCATGACATAAAGTTCATAAGTATTTAAATGTCTAATGTAAATAATAAACTAAACTTAAATTCAAAATAAACCAAAAACAAAAAAATATTGTAATAAATTGTCAATAACAAAAAGAAACTAACACCAAATTACATAATTTTGATTTTTCTACCACTTTTCACTTCATTTTCTTCAGATGTCATAGTGAAATCTTCATCAAAATTTGAAAATCACAAATATAAAACTGAAAACGGTAATTTGTTTGTCTGATTGGATCCGGCCTGTAAACGGTAATCTGTTTGTCTGATTGGATCCGGCCTGTAAACGGTAATCTGTTTGTCTGATTGGATCCGGCCTGTAAACGGTAATCTGTGTCCGTACAGATTATAAAGCTCGTCTTATACGAAATTAAACCAAAATGACGGATTTGCCCATTCACTCCACATCCAAGCTGTATAAACCGAGGGTTGAAATCGTAACTTCGACCTTATTAGACGACACCTCGAGTCACTCATCACTCCTTTCTTCCACAAGTGAAGTTTTTCATTTTTTAAAAATCACGGCGACGAGATACAAAGGAAGCGTTTTTCGCATTCATCTTCTTCTTCATCGTCCTTCTTCAATGTCCACTTGCTCACTCTTCTTCTACAACATGAAAGTCGCTCTTAATAATATTTTAAATCTTTTCTCCATCCTTTTTTTTGTTAAGTCATCTTTTTTTTTAATTGTTAAGTAATCTTTTCTCCATCCTTGCTTCTTAAGCATGACGACTCCTCTATTTCTTTCTAGCTTTCTTTTGGTTTGAATAAACAGAAGATATGAATGTCATGGAAAAGGTAAATCATTCTTCTTATACAAACAATGATTATGAAGCGACCTTTTTTGTAGGGAATGAACACTAGCTTTCTCATTTTTCACCTAAAAAGAACCTTTGTTTTCTAGCTAGCTTTGTATTTCATATATTCGTTTGTACTCAACTTAGGGATATGTTATTCGATCTTCCTTTCTTTTCTATTTTGATGAATAACTATATCATTAGATTAAATTTTGTGACAACAGGAGCATGAGATTGATGTTGGATCAGCTAATGAAGCTGAAGAAAGAAAATTTCTGACTGGATCCGACCCTCTCCATCATCACCACACTCCCTTTGCTTCACCATAGATTAGTTGCTGTTACATCTTCTGTTTCCCATAAATCATATTAGTTTGTAACACGTTTTGATTCCAGATTCTGGTTTTGTTTTTCCGAATGTTATAAAATGATTCTTTGTTAGTGTATAACATCCACGTTGAAGAACGTATCAAGCGTTTTTGTCATCTTCGTAGATATATTGTCGCAAAAATATTTGTGGATGGTAACCACAGTCCAATAGTGCCTGAGGGAAATAAATCTAATATGACAAATCGTGGTTCAAAATCCATTAGCCATATTGTTTTCGGCCCATTTGAATGTCCAAGAAAATATAACTCCATTCGAAATTAAATTTGTGTTTTTAATATACTCAGATTTAACTATTTTTCTACACAAATTTTTTGTGTGTGGAAGTTTAGATAATATCTGTAGATGCTGAGAATCATTGTCACTTTAAAAATGATTACTCAATAAAAGATTAATAATATTTTAATTTTATAAGTTTATAACTCATAGTTATTCAAACAAACCATATTTTATAATTTAAATTATGATGCATTTACAAGCAATAATTAGGGAATTAGTCTCTTATCCTCTTATTTATGAAGTAAATACAAGAAGATAAGAAATTTGTGGTAGGAATACCAAGGAAATCTTAGAATACTTATCTAAATTAGTGGTCAGATTTTAAAAAATTACTTACCTAATATGTTGGTAAAAAATAATCTTGATTATAAATCTAAATCTCCAAAACATTAATACATTATCTTGTATTTAGATATGATATATAATAAGGTGACTAAATTATATATTGTAGATTTTAATTGAATGTACAGTTGAAAAAAAAATCAACATTAACTGTTAGAATAGTTTATTAGAAACCGTTAAAATAGTTTATTTTACCGCACTAAAAGTAACTATTGAATTAGTTTATTTTGGTACGTGAACATAAATAAATTAAAACATTATCTTGTATTTGAATACGATGTTTATAAAACGAAAGAATTAAATTGTGAATTTAATTGAATGCACAATTAAAAAGAGATTCAATATTATACTTTTGGAAACCGTTAAAGTAATTTATTAGAAACCGTTGAAGTAGTTTATCTTGCCGCGCTAAAAATAACCATTTATTTAGTTTATTTTGGCGCGAGAATGTAAAATAAACTTTCTTCTTTTGCTTATCTCAAATGCATAAGTTTTTTTTTTCTCACCAGTAGTTAGTGATCATCTGAACCATATTAACCCAAAGAGTTACTTACCAACATTTGTCAAAACATAATCTGTATCCTCAACCAAGTTGGTGAAAGCCTTTAGATTTAAACAAAACCGTAACGCCAAGTAGACAAAAACAAACAAACAACACAAACCAACGGGGCACGTGACAAACACGCTCCAGGACTATATAAATAACCCCCCCCCACCCCATTTCACTTTCAATTCGGTAGTGATTCTCTTGCGGCGCGTGGGAAACGGTGAAAGCTATGGCTAATCTTCCTCCTTCTTCTTCGGCTTTCTCCAAGGCTTCTTCCAGCAATGATCCCAAGCTCTCTGCGGTGGAGCAGTTGGTGCTCGACATCTGTGACCCTGAACTCAGAGAGAATGCTCTTCAGGAGTTGTCCAAGGTCGTTTATTATTTTTTCTCTCTACGTAATATTATGAACTTTGATCATCGTTAGGTTTTGTTAATCGAATTTTATTACACGGTTTTGGTGAATCTAGGACATGCTTTTCAGATTTTTAGGATAATCGTTGAGACTTTATTACATAATTAAACAAAATTGCATGTTTTTGATTTTTTTGTATTACTTTTGTAATAAGATAACATATGTGTCATGTTTTTATACTTGTTTTTTTTTATGTTTGATGAACTGATTACTTTTGTAATAAAATAACACATGCTTCCTATGTTTTATTTGCTTTGGTTTCATTTATTTCAGATGAGAGAGATCTTTGATGATTTGGCTCCGCTTCTTTGGAACTCTCCTGCTACCGCTACTGCTCTTCTACAGGTAAATCATCATTCATTTATCTATAGTGAAGATGATTCATTCTTTGATGATGGCTTCTCTGTATTGGTTTAAGATCTAATCATTTGCAATATTCTTCTTTTTTTATCACTTTTTTCAGGAGATCCTCTCAGTTTACCATCTCCTGTCTCCTCCAACCATGACTGTTGCTCAGTCAAACAAGGTCTGCAATGCCCTTGCGCTTTACCAGGTGTGTAAAGTCTTGTCTTAGTTTTTGTCATTCAACGTTAATCTATGTTTTTTTTTTTGCTATTTGGAAGATTCTGACATCTATCGAATCCATCCTCGTTTTCTTTTTCTTTTAATATCCAGTGTGTTGCTGCTCATCCTGAAACTAAAAAGAAGTTCCTTGACGGTATTACAATCTTATGTCCGCAGACAATCACAATATATATATATGAATATATGCAGATTTATTGTTGTACTGGATTAACCTGTCTAGCAAAACTGGTTTGTGCAGTTTTTAATTGAAATTTTTTTGTGGATATAATATGCTTAAAGCTTTTTCAAAATACAGCTAATCTGCCAGTGTACCTGTATGCTTTCTTGAGTACGTCAAGCACGTCGAGACCCTTTGAGTACCTGCGTTTGACCACCTTGGGGGTTATTGGTGCACTTGTCAAGGTATGCCTAGTTTCTAAAAACTATGTATTGTGTAAATAAGGCTCTAACACATGCTAAGACCCATGAGTGAAAACTGTTTAAGACATCATAGAATCATTTGTATTTTAGTGATATTGGTGTTGCAACATTGTTCATTTTTTTTTTTTTTTTGGTAGGTTGATGATACAGAAGTGGTCAAATTCCTTCTTGAAACTGAAGTTGTCCCATTGTGCCTCCGGGTCATGGAAATTGGCAGCGAGTTATCAAAGACTGTAAGTTCATTTCTTATGATTGTTTTCTGAAATGCACAGTTTCATTTGATTATGATTTGGTTTTTTTATGTCAGGTTGCTACCTTCATTGTTCATAAAATTTTGGTGGACGATAAAGGGCTTGATTACATGTGCGTCAGTGCGGCTAGATTCTTTGCTTTGTGTCAAGTTTTGGGGAATATGGTTACTTCACCTGCAGAAGGACCTTCTCCTAGGCTTCTCAAGCACATCATACGCTGTTATCTTCGCTTGACTGATAACAGCAGGTTCGTTTAATTAAAATCCCTTTTACCTTCATTCAAAACAAAATCTATATATTATACACTATAATACGGTTTGTTTATCAAACTCAGGGCCTGCCATGCTCTCAAAACCTCCCTTCCAGAGCTTCTAGGTGATACCACCTTCCTCAGCTGTCTCAATGTAAGTATTATCTCTTCTTTGATAGCATATTAAACCAATGCCAATCTGTTTTTTAATGTTTATTATCTTGTCTGAATACTTTTGGTAAAGTTGTGACTTGACTGTGTTTAGCTAATCTGATTGTTTAATTTTTTGACAGGATGATCCAGCTGCAAGTGTGTGGCTGAAGCAACTGCACCACAACATCAAGGTTGGCGGGGTTGGCGTTAATCCACCTCTAGGGCTGGAGAATCTGTTGAAAGCTAAATCAGGCCTCTGAGTTTATATATATTCTTGGCAAAGACTTCTATTTATTGGACCAAAATTTAGTGGGGGTGGGGGTTAAAGATTTACAGATGAGGAATTTAAAACTCATAACCAAAAACTTATGTTCCTGCAATTAATAATCATTTTAAAGACTGAATCAAGCATTAAACCTCAAGTTTTTTTTAAAAGTTTTAGCAAATGTTTTATAAAATGCAGATGTAGATTAATAGGATGAGTCTATAATAGACTGTCAGATCTTGCAGGTAGTCTCCTGAAGAGATTGAGTGGCACAGAGGGGAGCTTGTGTCTGAACCTTGGATGCCTCAGCACATAGATCCCAGCAAGTAGTGCCACAACCTGAAACGGTGTAACATACAACACAATAGCAGCTATGAGACAGAAGAACACAAACAATGTGGTGGCCCTTGGATCTCTCCAGCTCAGCAGAGATAAGAACCGCTCTCCCTGTGTAGCTAGATCTCCCACCACGGTCTGAACTCGTCCTCCTATGCTCCTGAGCCTGTCATAACGCATCCTGATGATCTCAGGGGAACGGGAAGTAGGGAAAGTGTCAAACTCTTCATCAAGCTCGTCAGGGTGGACAGCATCTGCGTGTGACAAACGTGTGTCCATGTGTGGTGGGTGCCTTGGTCTCCACCTGAAGTTCCATATCCCAATCAAGAAAAGGTACAAGAACACCGTTGGTAAGATGAGTTCAGGGTAGAGAACTAAGATGATGAATAGGACATGAATGAGAATTGTGGTTATTGGGTTTCTCCAGTTGCAGATCTGCTCAAACCATTTCCCAATAGCTATGAGACCACTCAGAACATTCATGATTCTGAAGAAGTTAGCTTTACTCCTCCTCATGCTCCACATATGTGAGTCAACGTCCAGCATGTACTCCACAATCTCTTTCCTCAGAGGCGGCTCTGCTCTGTTCAGCCTCGCTGAGACAATGTTCATCGCCTGGTGTCTCAAACTATCCAGCTGAAGAACTGATAAAGGATGAATGTAATGCATTTTGGGAAGCAGCGGCTGAGAATACATGTGAAGCATGTTGATGACAGATAAGCAAGTGAACCTCACTGCTAGCTGTATCTCACCAGTTTTCTTGATCCCTGAAGGATGAAAGACGAGGAGAGGATATGAATGTGTGTAGATACGGTCAGCTTCAAGAGTGGAGAGACGGATTCTCACTTTCCCTATTCTCATATCTTTACCACTTCCTCCTGGTATGTGTCCATTATCAAATGCTCCAAAAGTTATGACTGTGCATGTATCAAACACTTCCCATGTGTACTGCTCGTTCCACTTAGGTGTGAAGCTATCAACAATAGTTCTTGTTCTGATCCATTTCTGACCATACTTCGCTACACAGTACGCATCTGTTGTCCCCTTACCGTCTTTGTTCTTCATTGGCATGAGTCCATGAGCGCTTATGATCCCTACTTCAAGCAGTCCAATGCTTGGTTTCCATAACTGTTTAGCCGTTGGTCTTAAGTCGCTGCTGTAGTGAGTTGATTCATCAAGAACATGGTATCCTCCTTCAAGAAAGATCCTTAGATGAATCCTGCTTGCAAACTTTATCTCTTTCTTCTCTCCATCAACCATTATATGTTTCTCCAAGTTAAACCACCTCGAGTTAAGCGGTCTATGGTCTAACCTCCTCTGTACATGCTGCAACGGGATTGCACACTTGCCTAATGTCTCATCTTTGTTCGGTGCAACCCTATCTTCAACAGCAAGAATCAACGGCTCCTCAAAAGGCTCAGCGACAACAAACATCAGATCTTCATTCCACATTGGATTCAATGTTTTGGTCTGAGAGATCCGAGTTCTTAGTGTCTGGTTCCCAAGCATTGCCTTCACGTAAACCTCAGGGAACTTTGTTTTATCATAAGGTATCAAGTCCTGAGCCTCTATGACATTGACTCTCACATACCAAAGCTTTGGTGAAAGATAAACTTTGGACCGTATATTAGCCACACCTTCAGGTCCAACGGTTGCTGCATCTGAGTGCCAAGCATCACAGAAAGCTTCATCAGCTTGTGTCCCCATCCAAACAGCTAACATAAGCTCTCCTTTAACCTTACGCCCATGACGATCCTCAAGCCGATACCACTGAGGAGCTAACGGACTATCAGGTGGAACACGCTTAGGTATCTCGTTGAGATCAAACATAACTCTACCAATCAAATCATCCAACATAACATCTTTGTCTTTCACTACAACCTCTAAGATTGATGCTTGGATCCTCTCCTTTGAGAAAGCAAACACTTGCTTCCACTCTGGATTTGACTTCTTCTCGAAATGCTTAGTCATGCCTTTGTAGTTCCCAAGCCTCACTTCTACATAAGGGTCACAACTACCGGTGACATCTTTCCCTGGGAGTTCTTTGGCCTTCATGACTTGAACGTAGAGGTAATGCATCTGCTCAACCAAGTCATATGTGCATGAGAGTTTGTCACCTATCACAGCTCCTGCACCAATCTTTGGTGATGTCTCCTTCAGTGCAAAGTCTATGTTTTGCCCTGGTTTCTGCATCTTGTCTGAATCTTGAACCTTTGTTTCTTTTGGGGATCTTAGTACTTTGTAATAAGAAGCAGTTTCAGGGGAAGTTGCTACGTTCTGTTATCTTAAGACAACTTTCTGGTAAAAACAAAAAAAACATAACAGAGGATGAATGAATCAGAGAGATTTTAACAGTTTACCTACTATAATATGGCTAAGTTGAGATCTATACTCTTCAGAGAATAAATATTTATGGAGAAGATTTTAAAAAGGGAGAAATGGTAATTGTTTATATATTTTAAAAATGTTGTTTAGGGACTTTTGTTGAAGTTTTCTCACCAAACAAGCAGCTACCAACACCAAAAATGTTGACAGACATTTCCCTGTAAATAAAATATTACTAAACAAATGTGTTTAACTTTTTGTCTTAGTTTTCTCCGAATCTGATCTAAACAAAGCTTAAAAGTATAAAAACTAGAAAGAAAAGAAATACCGATTATTTTTTAAAAACAAAGAAGAGTGAAAATGAAGATCCATTATGTAACTTAAGAAAAGTAACTAATCTTTGAGAGACAGCTAAACCCCACAAGAAATGCTTTGTTTCCATTACTCTTCACTATCGCTGTTACTTGAGCAACTTATCAAAACAAATACTACAACTACACATTATAAAATAGACAAAAAAAACTAGTTAAAGAAAAAAAGATCAAGACATGGTCAGGTAATGTACCTGAAGGGATCTAATGGAGAGTAGATAACTTATATTTAGTGATTATAATTTTTGTAATGAAAAGTTCTAAAGAAAAGGAAGATGTTGAAAATGAGATGGCAAAGCAGAGTGAGAGTGAGCTTTCCTAGAGAGGTGGTGAATGAAGAAGAGAGTGTACAGTGGGGAAATAGAATATTTGGGAACATGTGGGTTGCTAAGATCTGCTGCTTTTTAGTGGACCTACTCTACTCTTTTGACCTCTTCTTTTAGTTTATTCACCATTTCAATTTTCTTAATTTTTTTTTGTGCACCCAATTTTCTTGATTTTCTAAGTTTTTTTTTTTTTTTCACTTCATCAATTAATTTCTTATTGATGCATTTAATTATGAAATCAATGTCTGTCTAACTTGTTTGTTTTCTTGTCTTCGGCTTGTTTCGTTGCACGGAGATATGCTTTCTGTCTGAACATTATTTTTGAATTCAACTTTTACTTTTACAGTCTCAAACATTTTATCTCTGTAATTTATTTAATTAGTACTATTAAAGTTGCTCAAATAGTACTAAATGGTTATTGTTTGGATTTTATTTTATTTTCACAAAGTCCACATCACAGATTCTCTTAGTTTTGAATGATGGAAGGCCCACAGAACGGATACATCCACTGCAGCCTAGTCTGGCTCTATTTTAGATTGTTTCACAGTCAAGAACAATAATCACTAAAGTTTATAAAAACCTTGTCTGTATCTATTGTAACGTGCAACATACATGTGTAGATTATAGTTGGTTAACATAAACCATCCTAAGAGGCTAAGCATCTAGACACAACCCTTCTACCTACTTCCATAAGACTTTTCTTTATCCTAGTGTACTTGATCTTCAATTTTGTACAATGAAGTACACATTGTATGTTTCATCTCTTAAACTTAACAATGGTGACAACACAAAGTTGCTCGCTGTACCTCCCATCACGAAACTCATCGGATTGTATTGACTCATTCCTTTCCTCAACCTAAAGTTATGCTGCCTGTTTAATCTTTTCTCATCGGTAGCATCCAGTACCACCACATTGGGCTCAAGGCCCACTAAACTACTCTTTGTATATTTTATATATCAGTAAGACTACTTAATTCGACTGCGCCTATGGATACGAAATTCGTTATTTAAAGCCCATTAATATAAACTAGCCCATTAGCAGGATTGGAGATGAACATTGTGAATGTTTTGTCACAGGCATATGATAAAGAAATAGAATTACATGTATAATAATGCATTTGATGTAAATAGTAGTACTATATAATAAACATAAGCTTTTGATTCCCCACCCAAATCACTTCGTAATGATTTGCTTAATTATTTTATTTCCGACAGTTCCCAAGAGGCTTTCCACAAAGACACCTATTGTACGCAAACGACGTCGCATCGAGATGACCAAAATGAGACCCCGTAGGAATCTTCCCACACAGTTGGTTACGACTCACGTCAATATGCCCAATAAACGACGCCGTAGTGATACTCGCGGGTATCACTCCCTGTAAACGGTTATTCGAAAGATCCAACACCGTGAAGTACGACCTCGGCCCAAACGTATTCGGTATCCTTCCCGCCAAACGGTTCCCGCGCAAATTCAAATTCGAAATCGAAGAACTCATCAAACTCCCCGGAATAACGCCGGAGATGAAGTTCCCGTGGAGATCGAGCGTCGCGAGCACCGACATTCTCCCCAGCGAAGGCGGGATCGGGCCTGTGATTCTGTTCATCCCGAGCTCAAGATCCGCGAGCCGGTAAATCCGGGTCAAAGACTCCGGAATTTGACCCGAGATTCTGTTACCGGTTAACAACACACGACTCAGCATCGTTAACCGGCCGATATCTCCCGGTATGACTCCGGTTAAATAATTATTCCTCAAATCAAGATGCGACAGCCTCGTCAGCCTCGTGATCGACGCCGGAATCCCACCGGAGATCTTATTATCCGCGAGGTTCAACACGGTAAGCTTCACCAGCCTCCCGATACTCGCCGGAATCACGCCGGAGATTCTATTCCCGACGAGATCCAGATGCCTCATCGCGAGGAGATTCGTGACGCAGTGTGGAATCACGCCGGAGATTCCTTCCCAGTCGGTGATGGTGATCCCGGAGAGGTGAGGGAGTCTACACAGCGCCGGAGAGATCGCGCCGGTCATGAACCCTTTCCGTTTCGCGCGCTGGAAGATCGGCTCCTCGGAGACTCCACGGAGGGTGATGAGGGAGACTCGTCGGGTTTTCGGGTCGCAGGTCACGCCGTACCAACCGTTGCAGCAGTCTTGGCCTTTCCATGTTTTGAATACGCCGATGTAAGGCTCGTTGAGTTTTGATCGGAACTCGAGGAGGGCGGCTCGTTCGGATGGGAGACAGGCTTGGACCAACGTGGGGGTAACGGTTAGAAGCAATACGACGACGTTGGTTAATGCAATCATTAAAGCCTTCTTATTAGCTTCCACCATGGCTCTAAATAGAATCTTTGGTTAGATGTGTTTATGAGGTTTACATAGGGTTTTTGACATGGAAACGACTTAACTGCTATGGTGTTGTATTTATAGTCACATTTGGTGCAATACGACGAAATATTACTTTTTGTTTTGTTGCGTATTTTGCTTCGTTGAACCTTCTCGTTGATATTAATTAATAATTAATAATACACTATGATCATAGTATGATGCAGTTTTAAATGATACTAATAACATGGTTATGTTCTTGTTTCTGTTGCCTGGCTGTACTAATAGTTCCAAGATATAGATTGAATAATTAGTACTGATAACATGGTCTTGTAGTAAATCACGGTATAGTTTGAGCCAGGTTTCTTAAAATTCATGGTCGGCCCTGAAAGAAGGAGAGTAAACGTGATACAGAGATTTGGCAGTTGTTTAATAGTGATTTATTATTAGAAGGAAGTGAGATAAGTCAGAAGAGTGACATTAATGGAATTGACGTAATTCGAAATATAACTCATGTGCATGCATGTGGTTGAGTTCTTCTTCCTCATCACCCTTCTCTTCATTTCAATATAGCTCATAGTAACATCCTATACTTTTAAGATCAAAGCTAAATGCATAAAACACTTTTTCGGCTAGTCATGCTTCTATCATCTGACTGTAAATTCAAAATTTAGCACACTTCACTCAAAGAAGATTTATATGTTTGAAAATGCGTCAGTCGGGTTCGTTATATTCTATATGACATATGTGTTTATTTGTTTAATATAAAGTTTAAGTTCATATTACTGTTTTTAGATTTTACTATAAAAGGCGATAATGTGATGGATCGATTTCAATTAATGAATTAGAATTTATGTGTATTGATAATCTTCATCTCTTACCTTATTTTATGTATATATATATATAATTATATGTGTGTGTATGGTGGTTAATAAAAGAATCTTACTATTGAAATATAATACATATATATAATTATATAGTGTGGTGGTTACAATTTATGACGAGTTGTGTCTCTTGATATGATGAGATTTCTTCATAAATATAAAAGGAATCGTATCGTATATGATTACAAATGGTCTCGTACACCACAATACAATGTCGATAAAAAAAAAGGATTTAGAAAAAGACACTTACAGTTTCTTATCCATCAAAAGAACCCATTAGAGAGCAGGCCAAAGAGAGAAAAAAATCAATTGGTGAATTGATTCTAATAGCGAGCAAATTAAGCATCGATCAAGGTTAGTCTTTTTTCTCTTCTAAAAAAGCATACTAGGTTGATTTAAACTAAATCTAGATTATAGACTTGGGATAGATTTCACAAACGAAATCATAAATGTTAATTAAATTTACACGTAACGTTAGGCAATAGCCAAGCAAATAATCTCTGGCTCCTAGTAGTATTAAGACATGCACCTAGTTATTACGACTACAACATACTTTTATTGAGGCAACCATTATAGCATGTAATACAGTTGGAGAACGTTTTAATACCTACGATGTTTGTTACTCTTTCAAATACAAGATTTGTATTTAATATACACGCATACAATATCTACTATTAGTGTTAATTTCACAAAAGAATACCAAATACCAAAACATTACTTTGTATTGTAATGTTTTCTCTTATATTTGCAACTGATTGTATTTCTGTTATTTTCTGTATTTTTATTGTAATTCGACATTTTATATAAATAAAATAGTTGTTAAAAAGGGGGAAAAAGTAGTTTAAATTAAATTTATGTTTATGTGTTAGAAAAATATTGAGTGTTTTAGATTAATAACTTTGATTAAATGATAAATCTTCACTTCAATTAATGAAAAGTCACTTTTATGTGTTGTCTTCTTCTCACTTTGATTCTTAGAATAGTTAATGATAACTTTAATAAATTAAATTAGTTATTACATATATTTATTTAACTTTCTTTTTTTGTTAATATTTGTTTCTAAATCACTTTATTATAAGAAAATAGTAAATTTGATATAAATATATATATAGAAATTTATATTTAAAACAAGTAATTTAAGAAAAATAACATTTCTTTGAAATAAATCAAAAGGAATTTAATATAAAAATATAATATCTTTAATAAAAGATGATTTAGTTTATTACTTATTACATGATGAGAAAGTTGGTGCATTAAATACAATTTTAAAAAAATCTTATTCTTATTATTTCTGAATTCACTTTACCAAAATCATAAGTCTATCATTGACACTACAAGCCTATGATGTATTTGGTGATGATTTGGGAGGGACACACAATTTAAGATTCTTTTAATTTGTGTATTGTTATACCAAAATTTCCTTCTTAATCTGTAATCATTTAATTCTTTGAAAATATTTTCTCTATACAAAATACAAATAAAGAAGAAGAAAGTGTCTCATATGTTAAGAAGTATATAAGGAATCAAATCTCTTAAAATTATCATGCAATCATGTTGTTGACCGCACACATTTTACAAGGTTTCAAATAAATCATGAATATTCAAGTTATCGCTATAAATTATCTTATTAATTTAGTAAATGATTAGATCGGAATGTTTACTTGTTAATTAGTTTCAAATATTTACTTGTTTTTGAGATTTCTAAATAACTTAGCTACAGATAATACGATATATATGTATATATTTATTTATTTAATATTGACCTATTTGTACTTCTATTAAAATTAACCTATAAACAAAATATTGATCATACTATAATCAATAAAGGAGTATAATTGAATGCAAGATAATTATGTAACATATGTATTTTCTAAAATAAATTATAGGTTGACATATACTCTTTAAAAAAAATAAGTTATCATACGATATTGTACGGGTTTCTAACCTAATAGTCCATTTAAAACACTTTTAGACTAGTCATGCTTTTATCATCTGATTGTAACTTCAAAATTTAGCATACCTAACTCAAAGAACATTTATATGTTAAAATGTGTCACAGTCGGGGTCGTAACGTTATGTGATAGCCGGGTAAATTATCTCTGGTGCCTACTTTTTAAGTTTACAACATCTACATTTACGTAAACTATATAAGGTTTCTTACCCCTTCGTTCACTGTCTAATGTATTTTATTACATAAAAATGATAATAATCATTATTCAAGTTTATCAAATGATCTAAAATCATTGTTTTTGCCGGTTATAATGTACTTCCATGTTTTGTTGACGTGAAGATGAGAGATTTGTAGGAAACTATTCATAAATTAGTACTCAAAATGAAGGTCGTTATCCAGGGGACGAAAACAAAAATATCCCAATGATAGGACATAGAACCTTTCTTAAGCAACTCTGTTTATGACTCTTTACATTTTATATGTATATGATAATAATAATAATAAATTTTTAGTCGTTAGATATTCAGCAGACAAAGTTAACTAAGAAAAAAATGGCAACCAGAACAAAAATTATTTATTTCGAATAAGCAGAAAGTACATTCAAGCAGGAATATTGATCTCCAAAATCTTAAATAATACATATCATGATATCAAATTTTACCACCTCGAATCCTTTTAGCAAGTTGGATGTCTTTAGGCATGATAGTCACTCGCTTCGCATGTATGGCACATAAATTAGTATCCTGAAACAATTCAACAAGATAAGCTTCAGCTGCTTCTTGGAGAGCATCAACAGCATTGCTCTGGAATCGTAATTCTGCCTTGACACTTTGGGCTATTTCTTTCACCAGTCTCTGGAATGGAAGTTTTTTGATCAGTGGTTCTGTGCTCTTTTGATACTTTCTGATCTCTCTTAGCGCCACGGTTCCTGGTTTGTATCTATATGGTTTTTTAACGACAATGTTACATGGTTGTACTTTCATCCTTGGGTAAATCAATGGAGCCATACCTCCTGTGGATTTTTTAGCTATCTGTTTAGAACGAGCCATTTAAAATAAATAAATTTTATAAATGTGAAAATTTAGATTTGATTGTGAAAGATGCTTCTTGAGAACTTGTGTGTGATTGAAGACACATATATATATCTGCAGAGTTATATGAAAATTAGGAAAATATCTTGATTCAATGAATCTTAAGATTGTTCTTATCTCCATAGAGTAATATTTGACCAACCTAAAATCAATAATTTGTTTTTACTTTTTAAGAATAAAAAACAATCGTTGATTTCCTCTAAAATTAATGTTAAATATATTTCTTTTTTCAAATTGTGATAGGTGGTGATTTGCGATGACCAAAAAGAATATAAAATACATAAACTGAAAGTTAAAAAAATTATCCCCATTTCATAACATAGAAAAATGATCTAACAAATAAAGACCATAGTTTTGCTTCAAAAACAAAAAAAACAAAAAAAAAACTAGACAGAAAATCAACAAATGATACTTTTCTAGACTGAATTTCATTTCTGTGTTAGTAAGAATTATGGGTTTAGTTCACGTTACAAAGAAATCATTTTAAATAAATTTTGACTATATTTTAGTTTGTTTTAAATAAACGCAGTCTTTTTACAAAATACAAAAACAATTAGAGAAGCCAACACAATAATACTCTCTTCGTTTTTTAATAAATGATGTTTTGAATATACTTTTTTTTTGCTCCAAAATACATGACTTTTCAATTTTAATGTCAAAAATAAATAATTTTTATGCTAAATTATTAATTTTTTGTTTTTTTTTTATATTGGTTGAATTATAGTTAGTTATATAATTAATGATATAATAGATAATGTAAAAATTACATGTCTTTTAATGCGTGTGCACAACTTCTGAACTTCAAATGGAAAAAATGAAGAGTCATTTTTGTTCTAAACTGAATTACATGTCCGCGTTAATGAGAATTATAGGTTAGCCCACACTATAATTGGATTGTTTTAACAAATTTTGACACAATAAATATAGGTCAAGAATGTTTATATGTTAAAATCATCTTGACTTGAACATCGTCTCAACAAAATACAATACTCACATTAAATATTGAAACTCTTTATGTTATATAAATATCAAATAATAAATCATCAAAGTGGTATTAAAATGTATTTACAAAAATATTTCTAATGAACTTAAGCCATGTGACCCTACAATTTAGTTACTATTGTTGGTAATTTGTTATCAGGATTCATTTTTGTATGTTATTGAAAATAATCTTTAGCAAAAACATTTGTGTTTTACTCAAGTGCGATATGGTTATAACTTTTTTTAAACTGCAAAAAAAAAGTTATGGTTTAACATTTGTTGTCTACTTCCAGTTGATCAGGAGCTCTGTAAGTTCTATGAACTCTCTAAATGCTGTCTGCAAACACAAAAATTACACATATCCTACTCATTTGACTTTTCAAGGTAGTATCGGAGAGACATCATCGCAAGGAAAATAGAGTCCCACAACTTCCATCATTGAGATTGATGTGTCACTTCTACGCCTCCACGCAGTAAGTGAAGCTGGGTCAATCACATAGTTGTGGTTCGACAAAGAATTACATAAAAGAGACAATGTTGACTCCGTCCTAAACTAATTGTCACGACTCCCCTGAAAACACCAGCTAGGATATATCTATAAAGAGTTTGAAGTCATTGTTCACTTTCTAATGCCAGTTTTCAGAGTGTCTGCTAACAATGAAGTATCAACTATTTAGTACCTTCCTCAGCTTAAATACTTAGGAGCCTTGTCATCCCATATATAGGTAAGTCAATTGTATTTGGGATTCCACTTGATACTGTTCATGGAAGTTCGAAAGGGGATCTGATGCACCGTTCTTTGTGAATATTTATTTGTTCTTATGTTTTTGTGATGTAGGTAATTAGCCAGTATATATAATTGAAATAAAAATGCGAGACTATGGACTATTCCAAGCATGAACTTGAGGTTTTAATATTTGGAATTAACAATACATTTGAAAAGCAATATTGTGTCCAAAAGATGGTCCTCCATAGAACATGGACCAGTATATTATTACGCATGATTCAGGATTGGTCATTTCCAATCTTTTTTCGCGGTACAATAATTTTTTTCAATAAATCTTTTGTTTTAAAACTATCTTTATAATATTATTTTGAGAAGTCACTTTCTTAGGTGTCGCGCTCACGTTAACTCTCACGCTGGTTGATTACTATGATACCCCTAATAAATTAAAAATATATCTAAATATTATTATTTCCTTTTTAAAAATCTTCCAAATAACGATATAAAACAAAAAGGAAATATTTCTAAAATTTACAAAACTATTTAAAACGAAAAATAAGTATATATATATATAATATGGTTTCATAAAAAAAGAAAGTTTACAAAATAGTAATATTTAACTTAAATATATTTTAAATAACATAAATTTTAATTTTTAAGTAATTATACTTTATATATATATCTTCTTAGATGAAAAAATATTTGTATAGAATGTGTTTTCATAAAAAAAATTCATACAAATAATCTTGATATTAGAAAAAGAAATATTTTTTCTTTAAAAAAACAATTTAAACAATAAAATATATATTTTCAAAGTAATTAGTTTTTGTATATATCTATCTATTTTATTAGATGATTACATAAAATAATTAAGTAACATAAACTGATATATGTTTAATTGACAAAAAAATTATAATTAGTATATTTATTTGATTATAATATCTTACCGTTACAGCAAAAAATATAAATTATATTTTACTTATATAATATAATTTCTCAAAAACAATCATATTTTTACTGCATATTTTAAGAGATAATAAAAACAAAACTAAAAATAAATTTAATGGTAAACATCTTTTGATCAGATAACTACAATTCTTTTAAAATATCATAACACTATATAATTTAATGAGGTAGATATATTATATTTTAATAGTTAAAATTATATGTTTTCTTAATAACTCCTTTGATGTTTAATTTTCTGTTTTTCTGTTTGTGGAATTTAATATAACCATAATCAAAATACTTAAGAAAATCATAATTCTTTTTTTAAAAATTATTTAAAATAAATTTCAGTTTACCATCCAATCAATCTAAGGCATAAATTATTTAAAATTTCTAAACTATTTAATTATTATAAATATTGATATGTTTTCATAAGCTTCTGAAAATTTATTATTACTTATGTATGTAATTTAGAATCAGACAATTTAGTTTTTATTTTTTTCGTTCTAAGCACAAAAAATATTAAAATACATAATCTTACTAAGATATACTTATATTTCTAAGATAATAACCAACATAAATGTAAATAAAACAATTAATCAAAAAATTAAGATATTTAGAATAAAAAAGATTATAGTTGAATTCAGAGAAATAGATAGAATCCAATATATATATATATATATATATATATATATATATATATATATATATATATATCCAAATGATAAACTAACTAAAAATAATATATCTAAAATAATATAATATTATTAATATAGTTATACATAAAAACTATAAATTAATATAAAAATTAAAGTAAATATCAATCAAGTATTATAATATATTTATTTTATAAATAACCGTGCATGAGCACGGGAAAATCACCTAGTTTAGGTTTAAACACACTGCAATTTAAGGAAATAATTTTACAACATTATTGAAAGAAATATGTTTACAAACAAATCTTAAATAAATTGAAGAAAAATTAATAGTAAAGCAGGCCCAGTTCATTGGCAAGAAAAATGCAAAAAGGCTACAAAGGCAATACTTTTACGCATGTGGAAGGTTTGACAAAACGCTTTATTAGGTTAGGCTCTTTGTACTTTATATATGGGTTTGGTGGGTTTGGTTTTGAAAGTTAAACACAATTACTTAACAATGATTTTATCATCATTATATTATAATCAGTTTAATACTACCTTTTTTCTCAGAGTCCTGACTTCTTCTCTTTCTGATGTAAACAACTCGACTTTACAACATTATTGCGAAACAACTCTTGAGAAATGATGAATCCCACACGGAAATCTATCTTCTAATAACAAATCTGGTTTTGTCAGAAAGTCTTCTTTAGCTTTTAACTAAGATATATGACTTATATGTTTTCTAAGATGCCTATTCTTCTGAGACTGTCGATCAAAACGAGTAAATGTTTTCGTTAGTAATTTTTTTCTCCACCGCAAAGACTTGATCCATACCTTTACTTACCACCTTCTATTTACTTTTGGTCTCTTCTAATAATGTGATTTGCACGTACAATAACTTCTGTTTTGTTGACTTAAAGAGACTTGTTTTTTACTTGCTAAGCATCAAAGTACGTACCAAACTACCAATCTATTATCGTAGATGTTTCTGTGATCTTCTTACTTGGTCATGCGCATATACATAGACACTTACTACTCACTAACATAGGCTCACTCCCAAGTTCGAACTTAGGTTAGGACACGATGTTATAAACCAATTAGTTACTCGATCAAGTATGATATATGCGTAAAAAACATGAATACTTCGGTTGACTGCAATAGAAACCAAATTTATGTTATATTGCTTGAGATCGTTATTATTTTTCACCACTGACTAGTGTGTTGTTTTGAAAGATATTTAATCATTTAAATTGAGATTCCTTACCTATAATTAGTCTTACACTATGATTATTTATGTGTCTTCTGAATCAAATTGAAAAATATCAATATATATTTATATTTAGCACTATGTTTAGATTTGTGTTTTGATTGATTGATCTTTGAGTTCTCGACTCGGAATCTTTGAAATTGTTATATGTTTAGCACTATATAACAATTTCAATGTTCACTAGGAAAGAAATATACGTTGTTATAAAAGAGTTACTTCTAAGTTTTAAGGATTTCTTCATTTTATTAGTACTTTTACTTACTTTTGCTCTTTTTAATTAAGTTAAGTGGAAATAAAATTTATATGAAGAGAAAAACCGAGGGGCATTTACGTAAATTTAAATTGATCACTGCCCCTTCACATGCGCTCTTTTTATCAAGTCCTTTTTAGAGAAGAGAGACAGAACATTCTTTGGATTTTCTCTCTCTCTCTCTCTCCCACACGCAAACATCATCCTCATCACACCCTTACCTCTCGCACTATCGCATTCACAGCCTCTCCTCTCATCTCCCTCTCTCTTTTCTTCTTCTTCAGAAACAAGAATGAACAAGGGAAGAGAAAAAGAAGAAGCCATAGCAAATGGAGTGAAGTTGAGGGCACTTCAAGCTGGTCATATCCAGAAGTCAAGCCCTTCGTCTACTTACAATATCAGAAACCCTTCTTCATCTTCTCCAGCTTCTCGTCCTCTCCCTAACCTCTCTGCTCATGACTATCCTGTTTTCACTCCTGTAACCTCTCTCTCTCTCTCTCCTTATCTTTTCTTCTCATCATCTTTCTTGTCGGGTTCCATGTGTTTATTCTTCACTTTTTAGTATCTCTTTACTTGATTGCTTTCGACATTATGTATGGGAATTTGAGTTTGTTTTAGCATTTTAAAGACATTTTTTGAAAAATTATCATCGACCCCGAGATTTATTGGTTTAATCCGGTTTAGCCTCACTAATTTTGGTTTTTATTTTAAGAATTAGTTGATATCTTAATATTTATTGGTTTAATCCGGTTTAGGCTCACTAATTTTGGTTTTATTTTTAGAATTAGATTATATCTTTAATATATTAATTCATTTTTTCTCAATTAACAATACATTATATGATTTGGTTGTACCTTTAATAATTTAAACCACTCTGAAGAATAAAAAGACAAACAGTAAAGACTTGGATTTGGTAGAAGTAGAAACATTGTTTTGTCCTTTAGCTGTCACACTGTACTGAGTTTTGGACACAAGTTACTGTTTTTTTTTTTTTTTCCACTTTACACATTTTCTCTGCTTAACTTATCTCCTTGGTTTTGACACAGAGCTATGAAGATGAGCCTGTGTCAGCATTTCATCACAAGAATCTCACATTATCTGAAACTTGGGATGAATCTGGTGTTGGTTTAGTGGAAGGAGATGAAGAACAAGACATGAGACACACTTATCACTCTGATTCTTACAAAACTTCAACTTCAAGAAAGACTTTAACCCCTCAGCAAGACTCCCATCATCATGTTTACACCATGTCTGACGCTCTTAGATCCCCACCACCGTTACATTTTTACACAACCGGTAGAAGTAACTGTGGTGGCTCGGTTGATTTTAGATCTGTCTCTTCTTGCAATGACTACAAACAAAGAGGCTTTGATACTAAGAGCTTGAAGAGCTCTAATCTTGTTGTTCCCTTGACGGATTCTCATTCCGTTGTTGTTGCTTCTCAGACAAGGAACCGTGGAGGTAGAGTGATGTCTTGGTTGTTCCCCAAGAGGAAGCAAAAGAGTAATTCAATCTTTAATTCTCCTAGTAGAACAGAGAGATCAGAAGAGGTTTCCGAACCTTCTGGTGTTGAGAAGCTGAAGAGAGAGTTGATGGAAGCAAACAGAAGCAGAGACGCTGCGTTAACACAAGTTGAAGAGATGAAATCTTCTTTGGGAGAGTTCAGTGAGAAGCTTCAGTACTTGGAAAGTTACTGTGACAGTTTAAAGAAAGCTTTAAGACAAGCAACAGAAGTAGTTACACAAGAAAATAGTAACGTTACAAGAAGCTCAAAGAAGAAGAACTCAGAGATGCCAGTTAGTGAAGAGGTGATGGTTGAAGGGTTTTTACAGATTGTGTCCGAATCAAGATTATCGATAAAGCAGTTCTTGAAAACATTAGTTCAAGAGATAGACGAAGAAGACTCAGCTCTAATGAGTAACATCAACACTCTTCTTCAACCATACAACTTATCATTCACCTCAAAGTACTCTAAGATCATTCAATACCACTTAGAAGCAATCATAAGCCAATCTATATACCAAGACTTCGAGAACTGTGTCTTCCAGAAGAGCGGTACACCGAAACTACTCGATCCAGAACAAGAACGTCAAGCTAAATTCTCATCGTTCGCTTCTTTAAGAAACTTGAGCTGGAACGAGGTGTTGAAAAAGGGTACAAAGTATTACAGCGAGGAGTTCAGTAGATTCTGCGATGAGAAGATGAGTTTGATCATTACAACGTTGAAATGGACAAGGCCTTGGTCTGAACAAATGCTTCAAGCGTTCTTTGTAGCTGCGAAATGTGTGTGGTTGCTTCATTTGCTTGCCTTCTCGTTTAATCCAGCGTTAGGGATCTTGAGGGTTGAGGAGAACAGAGTGTTTGAATCGAGTTATATGGAAGATATGGGTGGAGGAGATCGAGATAGGATGCAGAGATCATCAACGTCACGTGGACAAGGGAGGGTTAAGGTTATGGTGATGCCTGGTTTTTATATTCAAGATAGGGTTTTGAGATGTAAGGTTCTTTGCAGGTACAAGTCATTAGGCTAAAGAGAGTCTTACATACTCTCTAGATTTAATATAAAAAGTCTTTTTTGTAAGTTTACTTCTTGTTTATCTCTTGCGTTACTTCATAATCTTTAGGAGTCTCATGACTCTCATCTTTCAGAAGTTTAGTTATGAAAACAAACAGGTCAAGAAGAAACTCTGGGAGAAATTACGTAATGCGCACCTAAAGTATAGATCGTTAGCAAGGCCCATTAGATTTATGGTTAAGGAAGCTCTTGTGATCTATAGACTAGAGCACAAGTCCATATGAGTTGGCATCTTGTCATTATGATATAAGTGTAACTCATGTACAGTTCTTACTAAGAGTATATCTAAAAAACACTCAACAACTTCAAATATGAAGATTTTGATTTCTAAGAAAAAAATTAAAATTTAAAAATTTGAAATTTTGATTAGTATAACTTCAAATATAGATGTCACTACTCAAAATTTCAAATTTGAAATGTTATAGTTTATTTGCATTTTGATTTTTTTAGCAAATCACATTTATGATTCTTAAATTTTTTTTGTTTATCGTTTTTATCCTTAAAAAGACCTATCTTATAAATATTTCAGAATTTTTTTTATAAATTTAAATTTTACACATATTTTTTTAAAAACGTTAAGATAAGATTTAAAATATTTCAAAAATAAAACTAGACAACAAAAATATTACAAGATTTAATGTGGTATTTTGTTTATAATTTAATATTTAGTTATATATTTCTATTTATAATTTTATATTTTAGTGTAACATTTTATTAATTTATATTGTTGTAATATTTTTATATATGTGTTAGTATTTATAAAAGTTTTATGAATTTAAATTAATTATGACAAATATGAGGACTATAGAATACAAATAGTTTTGAAATTAAGTTTGAAGTTTTGTTTTTGGAGAAAAATATCTTTAAGCTTCAAATAGAAAATTTTGTAAACTTTAAAATAGAATATCTTTTTGGAGATATTCTAAATATCTGAAATTCTTTAAAGAAAATCAAAAGAATAAAATTCGAAAGAGACCAAAAGACATTGTCAAACAAGATCATGCAAGAAGCTCTCTCAAACTCCACTCGTTCTTAGTGGTTGTACTTAAATTAATTAAAAAACATCTTAATTAATATTATTATTTTATAGTTAAAAACTCATTTTCAGTATATTGGGGCTGAGTGTGGTCTATGTCAACAAATGTTCTTTAACTCTAGTTCAATGAATCTATCAATGAAACATTCCATCACTATTACTAAAAGAGTAAAAAAAGGTAAATCAAAATAAACTTTCTGTGATTTCTTACATATCTAAAATGCACTAAAATCGGAACATGCATGACTGAAAATTTAAAATTTATTACGTTTCCAATAAAAATAAGAAAAAATCCTGGCCTTGAAATGCGGAAAACATAACTGAAGAAAGTTTTGTGGAAAACCCAAACAAGCCAAAGTCACTTTTACACCATTAATTCGTGAAAAAAATCAAATAGACGAATGGGAGATGAGAACGAGAAGTGATGGACCAAACTAACTACCGCAAGTCTTTAAGACTCTTTTTCTCTTTTTATTCAGAGAGTTCAGACCATAACGCACATCTTCTTCTTGTCTGAATCTCAAAAGTTTTCTCAACACGGCACAGAAAAAAACCCTCGGAGATGACGGACGGTAAACCTAAAAATCTGAATATTGTCATGTTTCCTTTCATGGCACAAGGCCATACCATCCCTTTTGTTTCTTTAGCCCTACGTTTAGAGAAGATGATCAAGAAAAACAAGAAAAACAGAGAAGACAACGTTATCATCTCTCTGGTCAACACTCCTTTAAACATCCCCAAGCTACGCTCAAAACTCCCTCCTGATTCCTCCATAAAACTCGTCGAGCTACCTTTCAACAGCTCTGATCACGGCCTCCCTCACGACGCCGAGAATTTCGATTCTCTCCCTTACTCTCTCGTCATCAGCCTCTTAGAAGCTTCAAGATCGCTCCGTGACCCCTTTCGAGACCTCATCGAGAAGATCTTGAAAGAAGGTGATGATGTTATGGTCGTTGGAGACTTCTTCTTGGGTTGGATCGGTAAGGTTTGCAAAGAGGTTTGTGTTTCTTCGTTTATCTTTAGCGCTTCTGGTGCTTTTGGACTAGGTTGTTATAGATCCATATGGCTTCACTTACCACATAAAGAAACCGAACAAGGTAAGTTTCTATTACATGATTTTCAAGAAGCAGGGGAGATAGAGAGAACTCAGTTGAACTACTTCATGTTAGAAGCTGATGGAACAGATGACTGGTCGGTTTTCATGAAGAAAAATCTGCCGGGATGGTCTGATTTCGACGGATTCTTGTTCAATACGGTTGAGGAAATCGATCATATTGGTTTGTCTTACTTTCGTAAAATAACCGGTGGTAAACCGGTTTGGACGGTCGGACCGGTTTTACCTGAAGCTGGCTCGAGGTCGACAGAGGAAAGTGTGAAGGCATGGCTTGACTCAAAACCGGACCATTCGGTGGTCTACGTGTGTTTTGGTTCGATGAACTCTATTTCTCAAACTCACATGTTGGAGTTGGCTAAGGCGTTAGAGAGTAGCGAGAAGAACTTCATATGGGTCGTGCGGCCACCAATGGGCGTGGAGGCTAATAAAGACTTTGATGTGAAAGATTATTTACCGAAAGGATTTGAAGAAAGAATCAAGAAATCAAGAAGAGGAGTGATTGTGAAGAAATGGGCACCACAGGTTGATATATTGTCACACAAGGCATCATGTGTGTTTTTGAGTCATTGTGGTTGGAACTCTATACTCGAATCGCTTAGCTATGGTGTGCCATTGCTAGGATGGCCTATGGCTGGCGAGCAGTTCTTTAATTCTATATTGATGGAGAAACATGTTGGTGTATCGGTTGAGGTGGCGCGTGGGAAGAGATGTGATATCAAATGTGATGAGATTGTTGCTAAGATCAGGTTGGTGATGGAGGAGGAGAGTGAAGTTAGGAAGAAGGCTAGAGAGGTGAAGGAACTAGTGAGGAGAGCGATGGATGATGGAGTTAATGGCTCTTCTGTCATTGGTTTGGAAGAGTTTATTAGTCATGCAACGGTCCAGAACAAGAATAGTTAAGACACTAGTCAGTAGTCACTAGGTGCATGAATGGGTTTGTGTAAGGATCTAATTGGGAATCACATATTAGAAAAGTTAATAACTATGACCGGTGGTTATACCACACAAGTGTTGTGGTAGATGGACTAATCTTTTTATTAAGTGTTTTTTTCCTTCTAAATTCAAGTTGACTTTTACAAAAATCATATAGAGACGCTTTGAGTTTATATATCTTTCACACTGAAAAAATTGTCTAAAGAAGTTAGTTGTGTGCTGTTATGAAGCAGATAGGAGTAGGAGGATAAAAAAAGGTAAGAGCCGGTTGCGAAAGTTTGCTATGTGTTGCAAAGATTCAGTGTCACAATTATAGTATCCTCCACTTTTGTCCTATACTTTTTCCAATAAGGCAAAGAATGGCTTTAATGTCTTCCTCTTCCTATCCTCAATTGACAATACGAGAAAAAAATGTTTGCTGATTAAATAAACACTAGATAATAATCTGAGCCTTGCACGAAACGAAATGAGATTATTATCTTTTGTTATTTTTGTGGTGAATATTTAGTTATATGGTCGCTCATGTCAATGTGTGCATGTATGTATATGTAAAAATATAAAAAATGGTGATAAATATACGAATATACCATTAATTAAGATTTGAAATATTTTTGTTCAAAATAACACATGATAGTAAATTCTTAAATAAAATTAAGTAAAAATAAATAAACCTAAAAATTAATAACATTTTTTCATATGCAGAAAATCAAATTGTACCCGTAAAAAAATAAAAATAATATATATTACAAAGTGACATCTTTACTTGGTACCTGAATTATGTTTTAATCGATTTTGTGATTTTTATTTCTTTTTAAAGCTTTCTTGATTTCTGATTTTTTTCTATCAATTTGAATTTGTTTCTAATTTTTGGTTTGATATGAAAACTTTAATATTTGACTAAACTAAAGATCTGATTTTACGTGTGGTGTTTTTCACCTTAGTTTCTTTAATTCATAATCAATCACCGTATTTGTTGTTATTGTGTACTGAAACCTCAACCATGACCAACTTCGGCAAAGTAGCAAAGTACGAAACTTTCAATTTCTACAAACATTTCATCACAACACTGTAGTTGATACGTAATGATTTTGTATTTTTTTACAATAAAATATTATTCATTAGTTTCACATAGAAAATTTTAATTTATTAATACAAAAGTTAAAAGTGTAAGAAAAATGAATTAACTAAAAATAATATATAAATAAATTAAATAATAAATTAAAAAATTAGTGTATAAACACATTAATTACTAAATGATTATGAGAACACACATGTTAATTATGGTGTAAACGTATTTATTAAAATGTTTCATTTTTAATATATAAGGGACTTATAAAATTCTAAATAGTTTGCTTAACTGATACTAGAAAATAGTTGTTGTCAAGAAAAGAAAAAAACTGAAAATAGTTGCACGATTATAGTAGTAGTCTATCTAAACAACATTAAAAATTAAATCACCTTGAAAATTATTGCAAAATTTAAATCATCCAAAATAGTATATTCCGCAGAATAATTCCGATAAGATTTAATCTAACAACTAACTAAATCACAACTTAGATTTTCCTTTATCTTTGTATTCATTATTTCGTAACTAAATCTGTAAATTTTATTTCTCAGAATTAGGTTGGTCCCTTTACCGTGCCCATTTCATCAGAATTTCACGTTTACATATCTCTCTCTCCCATAGCAAATAGGACTAGAATTAAAATTAAATAAATAAGAGATGTTGCCGGTGCTATTAAAATATGATAAAACCAAAACATTTGACTTTGTTTAAAACAATTATTCCTCCCACTATATAATTATAAGGCATCAGCCCACGAGACCAAAACCTTCTCCAACCAAAAAAAGAGTTTTAATTCTCCTTTTGTGACTCGAAGATGAGATGTTCATGGCCGACACGCTTCACCTTCTCGATGGTCCTCACGGTCGTCATCGCCATGCTTGCCGTAGCTTATGGATATTCATCTGTTTCATCATCAAACCATAGGTTTCCTCATTACAAGTACAAAGCTCCACTTCCTCCAACGACTTATTCTCCTTACCGTTACTTCTCACCGCCTCCACCTCCTCCGGTTACTGATTCAGATTCTGCCGCTTATGCTCGATAAACTCAGCGTGATACGTCGATTCTTGGGGTTTTTTCTTCATATGTTCACCATTCTATTTTATTTTTTTCCTTTTTGATTTTGATGTGTGACAAAACTAATTAATTGTCAGTTTTCTAAAGTAACGTGCGAAAAGGTATGTACGAAACCTATCGTTTACTTTGTGTGTGATGATTAATTATCAGTATTATTGCAATAGTGTCTAGAAGCTAGTCTAGGTAGATTTGAAGTTAATGAAGTAATTATTTGATTATAACTTTCTTAATGCATGTTTAGGAGCTAAGTTAGATTCTTGAAAATGTTGAATAGCATACCAAAAAGTGATTTAGAGGTCATTGACTTTATAGAAAGTGTATATGGTTTGTGCTCTTTTTATTTCAGTCCAAATGCAAATAAAAATAACACACTTAATTAAGAAACACTGAAAACATCATATCATGATTCCAACTTAATTTTGTTTACTTTGGCAAGATCAGCTAATACTGACCACAAAATGGCTTTGTAAATAATCTCATAAATACATAATAACATATGTTGAGAAGCGTGAGTTCAATCTTTCTTGTTTTAAGTTATTGTTGACCAATGTGACAATTTTTAAAAATTATTGAAATAATCAAATTGTCTTAGACTCAGTACCGCCTCATTAACAAAGAACTTAGTGGTGCCCCATTAACAGAAAAAAAAATTAGTGGTGTCCTACTATACAATTAGCTTTAGTACTTTTTGTTGACAGAATAAAATTGAGGTTTTATTACTACCCAATGACTTTTTCTTTTGTGTTGGCTGGTTGTATTGATATGAATCCGTCGTGGCCGACGCGGTTTAGCTGTAGTCTGTGTGGGCAATGTAGAAATCGGCGGCATGAATTTTAATTATTTTAGAAGGTACAAAAAAGAATAAACACACCGCGTCAAGTCAAAGCAAATACGATAAAAAGGTCCAATAAAAACCAATTTAACAGCTTATAATTGTAAGTTATTAGCTGTTAACAGCTAATAATGTCTGAAATTATTAAAGTAGCAAACGTTTATTTATCTATGTGAGTCTTTTATTTGTACTGACTCTTTTATTTGTTCGTGTGAGTCAAATCAACAACGATGGACAGCGTATGTTAGGTTAAGAAGTATCGTTACAGTTAATAACGATCCAACAACGGGATGGTTAGGTTAAAGATTACAATTGGTGATTACGTAGTGGAACTGTCCGATGTGAAATAATTGATCAAGCATGAAGTCCTTATCCTGTGTTTCTTCAAAGACAATCTAATCACGAAGAAGTGTAACACAAAGTTCTCCACCACAATTTTTATGTAAATGCATAATGATTAACCAATTAGATTTTGTCACCAAAAAGATAGTCCATGAATGAAGTGAGTAATACTTTATAGTAGTCTTTTGTTATTATAAAAGGAAAACAGATATATAATACAAATATAAAATTATAGGTTAAGCTACATCACCCTGTAAAGTAAGATTCAAGTTTAAGCTAATGCTTTGATTCAATGGTGGTTTGTTAATTTGCTTTATTTGGGACTCTTGTTCTCATGGGTGATTATTGCTTTCCTAGTTAGTAACCACTTTTGTCTTCATTTAAGAAAAATAATGTATATTGTCTATGCATGATTAATGTTTCATATAAACAAACTTGAGGTTTCCGTTAAAGTATCAAAAGAGTTTAATGTACATTACCCTACACTTGTACACAGTAATTAACCTTACCCTACTGTATATTGTTATTTCAAAAGTGATTACGTTTGTAATTGTTTTTTTTTTTTTATGTGTGTTGAAAGTTTCACCATCGCTTCTGTTAAGTGTTTAGTCGTATTAGAAGACGTCTGAATAGAGTTAAATTCATAGTTTTGAACCAAAAAACAAGAGTTAAATTCATAGTTTTAAGAGTTAATCTCCTTCCCTTCGCAAATTGCTATTCTAAAATTCGTGTTGTACGATTGTGATTCAATGTCAATTGAGAGACTCCATCACAAATGTAGCAACTTTATCTCAGAAGCCAAAAATGAAAAGAAAATAGGGCATTTCACAGTTTTTCCACAAACCAATGGTTGTTTAAGTTTGTATTACCAAACCATTCCTCCCATTCCTCTCGTTATTAGACTATCTCCAAAAATTCACTTTATTTTTTCTTTTAAAATAGATTAATTTTATAACCCCAAAAATACTCTATTTTAAAATGAAAATAGAGTGAAAACCCAAAAAAAAAAACTTATTCTAATATAAAGTGAAAAATAGAATACATTTGAAAACATTTTTACTATAGACTCTATTTTATAAGGAAAAATAAAGTGAGGTTGAAGATGTCTAAAGAAACATAACACACATTTCAAGCTATCTTGTTTACATCTATCTATATATAAAAGATCTTTAGAGTTCAGAAAGATTTCAACAAAACGGATATACCCCCTAAAACCTAAGACCTTTGGCCTTCACCATTAGAAATCATTTACAAGATTCAAAATCCAAACTTCTTTTGTACTTTATATGGGGATGTTTTATTTGTGATTGAATAAAAAGTTATGCTTATTTCTGGACGGTTGACAAAAGATATTATTACTATAAATCATGAGTGTAAAATCGAGAAGTTTAAAATCATGACCCACGTTTCTATCAATAAAAATATACTAAAATATATGGATAAAAAGGAGTATATATATTCTCCATAACAATAATTTGATTTCTTCAAGTATACGTGTTGGTGCGCGAGAGGTGGTTGTGTGAAGCCGAAGCAAAACTTCTTGCTCGATCGGCTAAGCCTAATATAAAACAAACAAAAAGGGTTATGACATTCGTCCATTTATTATAAGTATACAATACAATCGAAGCTTATATACGTAAATGGATGAAATAATACAACATTTTGCTTACCTTGAAAATGAAGACATCGATGGATAGAAAATTGACATGCTCATGAATATATATTAATGTCATATACTACATATACGTAAGGTTAACGAATTAGACATGTCTGTAATATGTACCTTGTGAATGAAGAAACTAATAGAATCGGTTTATATATTCAAAAAGAAAAAGATAAGGAAACAAAAAGAACAAGTGAAGATCACTTCTCCTTTATCTTGGTGTTTGCATTTTGGGTCTCTCTCAGAACCGTTTTAGTCATGACCGTTCAACTAACGTTTCTTCACTTGGTTAAGTTAGTTATTTACAAAGATACATTTGTTGTTGGTGTATTTTATTTACCACAAAAATATAATTAAAGACCTTGGACCGGGTGTTTTTTGTATGTTTTAAAACAAAGCAACACACCATATATTATAATATCATAGAGATTAAAAAGGAGGAAGGGTTTTCTTACCAGAATTGTAAGCAAACTATACAACCTTCCCTTTCATCACCATCATCATTATCCCTCCATCAAGTCTTCTCTCTTTTCTTACTCTATTATAAAAACAAACTTCACTAGTTTACATCAATAAATCAAGCCTCGAGAAAAATTAAGAAAAAAAAATGAGGAAACCAGAGGTAGCAGCAATCGTGGCCACTCATCAAGTAAAGAAGATGAAGAAGGGACTTTGGTCTCCAGAGGAAGACTCAAAGCTGATGCAGTATATGCTAAGCAATGGGCAAGGATGTTGGAGTGATGTTGCTAAAAACGCAGGTCTTCAGCGTTGTGGTAAAAGCTGCCGTCTTCGTTGGATTAACTATCTTCGTCCTGACCTCAAGCGTGGCGCTTTCTCTCCTCAAGAAGAGGATCTCATCATTCGTTTCCATTCCATTCTCGGCAACAGGTTTATATTTTGCCTTCATTTTGCTTATTTTACATGTTTTTTTTTAACTAACTATACTGCATAGACTTTCTTTTAGAAAAAAACAGCATTTTCAGGTGAATCAAGTTTTGTCTAGCTTTTTTTGAATAATGGGGATGTAAATTCGCATAGAAAGCCAAGCCAACTGATCCCAAAAGCCCACCTTAAAACGACAAAAGTCACAAAACTGTTAAACTAGATCTTAACTTATGTTTAATTGTTTTTTTTCTACCGTAAATATATATATATAAGAAGTTAATTAAGACCTAGACCTATCTTAATTAATTATCAATAGAACAAAGTTACATAAAGGATCTGAGTGTAGTGTTCAGTTGTGAATACGACTATGTAATATACATGATATACATCGTAAAATGTATAATCGAAGTTCACGTTGAAGGATAGAGTTTGGTTCGAATATTCACTGTCAAGATAACTGTTTAAATTCAGAGGGATGATGATTGTTTGTGAAGAAAAATTGACCAATTGAAAAATATAAATAATAGTAATATAAGCAGAAAACCAAACTAGGAATGAGTACATTGACATTCACATGTAATTATGTCATTATGTGAGTGGTCAAAGTTCGTTAATCGTGGGTGTTAAGACTTAAGGGTGCGTCTTATAAAGAACACTTGTTTTATTGAAATCGACTTGTGTCTCTTTGGCACCTTCTCTTCTTTTCTCTTCTCTAGGGTTTTACTTCAACTTTCATTTTCTAATTATACATTTTAAAGGTTCTTTCCTGTCACTTTCTCAAGAGACATAGATTTTTTAGTTTATACTTTACGTTGGACATGACTTCCTAAAATAAAACTAATATATTTACTATTTTATAATTTCTCTCGTATTAATTAATGGTGTTTCTAAACATTTTATGCGAACTAAAAACAAGTCTTTATTATGCCTAAATAAACTAATTGACTCTTGGACTCACAATGTTATATTTTATATTTATTAGTAGTTAGTTTTACATAGAGATAAAAGTACATACTTTCTTGTCAAAACTATGTGAAATCATATAACGTACATTTATTTGTTTGAACAAAAAGTCAAAAACTGTAGTTATTGCGTTAGCAGTTGTAGTGCTTTGTTTTCATTTAATAATCAGGTCGATCTAATTCACATGCAAACCATGCAACTGTACAAATTATATAACATGATCGACTCATTAATTTACTCTTCTCTCTTTCTTATAATTCGATTTCCTAGGTGGTCTCAGATCGCAGCAAGATTGCCTGGTCGGACCGACAATGAGATCAAGAACTTTTGGAACTCAACGGTAAAGAAAAGGCTAAAGAAGATGTCTGATACCTCCAACCTCGTCAACAACTCCTCCTCATCACCCAACGCAAGTGACTCATCTTCAATTTCGTCCTCTTCTTTGGAGTTTAAAGACATTATAGGAAGCTTCATGTCCTTGCAAGAACAGGGATTCATCAACCCCTCTAATTTTACCAACATACCAACCAACAACAATCCATTCACAACGCCACACATGTTCAGCCACTCGTTTAATGAAGACTCCGCCCCTTATGCAGATGGTTTATATGGAGTAAATATAGGGCTGCATGGGGAACTATACTTTCCACCTTTGGAATGTGAAGAAGGTGACTTGTACAAGGCAGATATTAACAACCACTTAGAAGACGTAAACACTAATGGAGCTGGATCAAACGTGCCTGAGAGTATGAGAATGGAAGAATATTGGGACCTTGACCAGTTGATGAACACTGAGGTTCCTTCGGTTTACTTCAACTTCAACCAGAACATATAAAAATTTACGTTATCTTATTCTTTTTCTGAGCGAAATTATACTCAAGATACATAGTCACACATAAATGCAAATATATATACACATGTTGTTGTAGTCTTGTAGATAGATGAAAACTTAGAGAGTCTTTTGTATTTTGAATAATATTTCCGTGCTAGGGCTTGAAGTGCCATGTCTAATGATTAGATCTATATGTAATACATATATGATATATATCTTAATAAAAATTAGAAATAAGCATATACAAGATTAAGTACTAAAGTGTATAGTCGATTCTCAAATCTTGCACAAAATACTACAAGTGTAGTCTATTTCGGTTACATTAACCACCAAGTGAATCGCATTGTAAATCAAGTCTGTATAACCGTCAAAGTCTTTATCTCTTGGTGCAAAAATAAAAGTTTGCAAGAAATTCTTTCAAACCAGTTATAGAAAAGCCTTTTTTGTTTGTCAACCCAATAAGGAAAGCTAAACATATGCATATTGCACATTGTGAATATTGATATTTTAAACTTATTTGTTACCACGCATTGAAAGATTGGTTATTATATTGGTTTTAATGAAAATAATTTACTAGTTAAAGTTATTTAAACATATCTCTTAGCTAATCAAATAAAGGAAATTATATTAACAAAGACAATGTTTGTTTTGAATGGATCTCTTATTCTCACCCAGTCAGTCAAAACCGGACGTAGGACTAAGTAAAATATTCGCCTTAAACTTCCAAAATTTTTGAAGAAAACTATATGAATATAAATTTCCAAAATTTTTTTTAAGCCCCTTAAAATTTATTTTACTTAGAATTCGCCATAGATACTCAAAATCCCAAAACTGGCTGCAGGTGTATCCAGTATATGAATATATCTCAAAGGACCAGTTATAAAGTTTCATAAACTAACATTTGTAATTTTGTATCAACAATAGAGTTCATTTAAACAACAACAGATGGTCCAAAGCCAATAAACAAAAGAGACAGAAAATTATAAAATATATTTACCGTCGTTTGGTTAACATCAAAGACTTTTTTTACCTTTTATTATTAAGTTAAAAAAAAACAAAATAAGTTAAAATCAGAGAAAAAGACCAAATGGCTTCTCGTTTGTAAATTTAGCCAATAGATAACAAGATGACCCACAAAAGACGGAGATCTCTATTTCCCACCTCACGACTATACTCTCATCATCAGATCACTCATCTCTGTCCGTAGATTCCTTTCTCCTCACTAACCGTCCGATCTCTCCATCCAACGGTCACCATTCATCTCCCTTCTTACTTATTCTCTTCACTTCCTTTCTCCAACGTCCCTCCCTCACTCCCTCTCTCGCCGCCGACGCTAACAAACAATGGCGTCTCTCGCCCTCTCCGGCTCCTGCTCCCTCGCCTTCCCCCTCAAATCCCGCTCCCTCCTCCTCCCCCGTCCCCCCTCCTCCCTCAATCCCCTCAAAAAACCTCTCCGATCTCGCATCTCCCTCGTGAAATCTCCACTCACAATCTCTCTCACGAAGAGATCAACACTCGTTAAGGCTGCAGCTTCCTCCTCTCCGGCGCCTGTTGTCCCCGCTCCGGCGCCATGGCAAGGAGCAGCGATCAAGCCTCTCCTCGCATCGATCGCCACGGGAGTGATCATCTGGTTCCTCCCCGTGCCCGAAGGAGTCACACGAAACGCGTGGCAGCTCCTCGCGATCTTCCTCGCCACGATCGTCGGAATCATCACACAGCCCCTCCCGCTCGGCGCCGTGGCGCTACTCGGACTCGGCGCATCAGTCCTCACCAAAACCCTAACCTTCGCCGCGGCCTTCTCCGCCTTCGGAGACCCCATCCCCTGGCTAATCGCGCTCGCCTTCTTCTTCGCGCGCGGATTCATCAAAACGGGCCTAGGCAACCGCGTCGCCTACCAGTTCGTCAAACTCTTCGGAAGCTCGTCTCTAGGGCTAGGTTACAGCCTCGTCTTCAGCGAAGCCCTTTTAGCTCCGGCGATCCCGTCGGTGTCCGCGCGTGCCGGTGGGATTTTCCTCCCTCTGGTGAAGTCTTTATGTGTGGCGTGTGGGAGTAACGTTGGGGATGGGACGGAGCATAGGCTCGGGTCGTGGCTGATGCTGACGTGTTTCCAGACGTCGGTGATCTCGTCGTCTATGTTTTTGACGGCGATGGCGGCGAATCCGTTGAGTGCGAACTTGGCGTTTAATACGATTAAGCAGACGATTGGGTGGACTGATTGGGCGAAAGCGGCGATTGTGCCTGGGATTGTGTCGTTGATTGTTGTTCCGTTTCTGTTGTATCTTGTTTATCCGCCGACGGTTAAGAGTAGTCCGGATGCTCCCAAGCTGGCTCAGGAGAAGTTGGATAAGATGGGGCCTATGTCTAAGAATGAGTTGATTATGGCTGCCACTTTGTTTCTCACTGTAAGTGTGTTCATGAGCTCTGTTTATGTACTTGCCTGTTTAAGCACATGACACTATGTGCTATCATGTTTGTGATTCATTAGATGGTAGCCATTTCATCTTAAATTAGATGAAGCAAGGGATCTGCTTCTGTTTAAATTTTAAAGTTGGTTTGAGTGAAAAAGTTTTGGTTTGGGTATTATTAGACGGAAGATCTTTCTTTTTTTTTTAAACAAGTTATTTTTGGTTGAATAGATTGTAGCCATTTGTTTCTGCTTCATGAGCTCTCTTTAGATGGAAAGTCTTCTTGGTAACACTTTTAGGGAGAGTTTGAAGTAAAATAAAAAGGTGAGATTTTTTAGCTGTTTGTTTTTCATTAGATTGTTATGGCTGCCACTTTGTAACTCACTGAAAGTGTGCTCTTTTGCTTCATAACCTATGTCAAAGTCTTCTTGGTATCACTTTTGAAATAAAAAAAAGGTGAGGTTTTTAGCTTTTTGTGTTTCATTAGATTGTAGCAAAGGCTCTGCTTCTGTGTTAAAGTTGCTTTGAGTGAAAAAAATTCTTTTTTTTTTGTGTGTTTATTGGACGCAAGATCTTTCTTTTATTTTAACAAGTTGTTTCCTTGATGCAGGTGTTTTATTAGACGCAAACTCTTCCTTTTTTTTAGCAAAAGTTGTCTTTGGTTCAATAGATTGTAGCTATTTGAGGATAGATAGATTGTTAGCTGTTGTGGCTCGATAGATTGTAGATATTTCATCTTAATTTTGATGAAGCAAGTGCTCTGTTTCTGTTTAAAGTTGATTTGTTGCTTTGGAGTTGAAAAGTTGTGGTTTTGGTGTTTTATTAGAGGCAAGGTCTTCTTTTTTTTCTAAAAAAAGTTGTTTCCTTGATGCAGGTTGGTCTCTGGATTTTTGGAGCTAAGCTGAGTGTAGACGCTGTGACTGCAGCCATTCTTGGATTATCAGTGCTTCTTGTGACAGGTGTTGTCACATGGAAAGAGTGCTTAGCTGAGTCGGTTGCGTGGGACACTCTCACTTGGTTCGCTGCTCTCATTGCAATGGCTGGTTATCTTAACAAATACGGTCTCATCGAGTGGTTCAGCCAGACCGTAGTCAAGGTTTGTTAATGAATGCTTAAAGAGCCTGATGAATTGGTCATTGCTGATGATTTGACATTTTTGTTTTGGTTGATTGCAGTTTGTGGGAGGATTGGGTTTGTCATGGCAACTATCATTTGGAATCCTCGTCCTCTTGTACTTCTACACTCATTACTTCTTTGCGAGTGGAGCTGCTCACATCGGAGCTATGTTCACTGCATTTTTGTCTGTCTCAACAGCTCTAGGCACACCACCTTACTTTGCAGCCTTGGTTCTTGCATTCCTCTCGAACCTGATGGGAGGACTGACCCATTACGGTATCGGGTCTGCGCCTATTTTCTACGGGGCTAACTACGTGCCGCTTGCCAAATGGTGGGGCTATGGATTCTTGATCTCAATAGTCAACATTCTTATCTGGCTTGGTGTAGGTGGAGCCTGGTGGAAGTTCATTGGCTTGTGGTGATGACCAACCTCCACACACTAGCATTCTCATTCTTTCCCCTTACTTATATATTAATCTCTTAGAGTGGCTAAGGATTAAGGATTGATAATCAGGATTTTTAAGAGTGTAAGCTCGTTATACTATCGCATCACATTTTGAGGTGTAAGCAGATCTTAACTTGCATCAATTTTGTTTGTCTCTTAACTTCTTGTTTTTGAGTGAGACCACACCACCTTTACTTTATTAGCCAAGGAATGAGATTTTCTTAATAGGCTTGTTGCAGCAGAGAATGTTGCTCCACACTCTTTGGAGAAGGACATTAATAGGCGAAAGCATGCTTTGCTTCCTTATTACTGCAGCTGGTTAAAAAAGCTGATTTGTGAGAAGGTGTTAGAAAAGATGAGACAGCAAGTTGATAAGTGCAGCAGAACCTGGTAAACAATGTAATAAGCCGATCACTTGCGTGTCACGTAGTCCCCACATCAGTCCACGTGTCACTCGGCACAACCGATCACTTGCGTGTCACTTGGATCCAAAAGTCTTTTAATAAAATTAATTTATCGCCGAGAACAAATAAAAAGAAAATCGAAACCATGATAACATCACCTAGAGAAGAACCCAGATCTGCACGCGCTGGCATCTTTCAGATCTCAACACGTGTCAAAAACAATTTTACTTTCATGGATGATCTTATCAAACTTTCGTTCTCTTGCGATTAAAAATCAATTAAAAAAATATAAAAAGAAAATTACAATTCTGGAAAGAAAAAGAAAAAGAAGGAAAGAAAAATTCCCCAAAAAACAAAACTAGGGTTAGCTTCTGCCCAATCCTATTCTTCTTCTTCTTCTTCCTCGGATTCACATCACTTGCCGGCTGTCGGGTGTTCCGCATCACTTCTCTCTTCACCTAACTTTCTCCTCTCCTTTTCTTAAAATTATCACTCTCTCCTCTCCCAAGTCCTGATCGATTACATAGCTTCACGATTCTTCTAAGTTATCATCAAAAACTTTACTGTGAATAGGTATTGCTTTTCTTAGTTTTGAATTGTAAAAATCAAAACTTGAGGAAAATTTTGCAAGTTTTCACCTTTTTTATTTTGCATGTCTCTGCATTGCTTTATAACCTCCAAAGGTTACTCCTTTTAATTAATTTTCTTGTTTTGATTCGGTATTGAATTGGGTTATTAACAACTAACAAGTGTTGTTTGACCTGATTTTTGTGAAGAGATGCAATCGAAATCGGGAAGAGGAAACGAAGAGGAAGTCAATAATCATAACCATGCTGATCAGCAGCCTATGATGTATCCAGAGCCCTGGTGGAAGAATAATACTTTTGGTGTCGTTCATCCAGAGAGACCTTCTGTGATTCCTTCGAATTCGTCGTCTTTGGATTGTCCTAATGGTTCTGAATCGAACGATGTTCATTCAGCTTCTGAAGATGGTGCGGGTAATGGTGAAAACGATGGCGCTTGGAAGGATTCACAAGCTGCTGTTACTTCCTCCCCTTCAGGTTTTGTCTTTTATCATTATTGCAATAACTTGTTCAGTGGTTACTAAGCGACTTAAATCGCAAAATGATTATAGGACATGACAAAGTCCTTGAGATGTGTTTGTTGCTTTTTAACTGTTGGACTTTACATTTCAGTTGTTGAAGCGTCACATTTTTTTCTTCCCCTGTATCTATCTATAATGGATCTCTAATCATTTTCAGTTGACCATCATGGAATGGAAGGAAGTGATCCGACACGTGTGGCGGCTTCTATGCATGGTCAGCAACCTGTACAACCACCAGAGCTTGTTGGACACTACATGGTATGTGGTTTCCTCTCGGTCTTTGATTATATATGATGTTTCAGTTCTTGAGCCGTTAAACTAAATCTGGTTCATCTTGTATTGCTCTGTTAATGTGTATGTTTAACGTAATCTACGTTTACAGGCTTGTGTCCCTAATCCATACCAGGATCCATATTATGCGGGAATGATGGGAGCTTATGGACATCAGCCATTGGTATCTTGTCGACCTCTCTTAGTCTCTACAATAGTTTCATATGGTGTAGTGTTTGCTTGATGTATGGTGTATGTGTGCTTTTGCCGCTAACCCTTTGTGGTGATTTTATTTACTGTGTGCAATGATTTTGGCTTCACTAGTTCTGTTTGTTCGAAGTAGTGATATGTTGTTGAAGTTCATACTTCATTACCTTAATGATCCTCAAACAAATCTCGAAGATTCTCAGGGTCTTATGAGTTTAATGATTTCGATCATCTAAGTCTGTTTGTTGCGTTTTTTTGTTGTATGATTTAATCAGGGTTTTCGTCCATATCTTGGAATGCCTCGTGAAAGAACGGCACTGCCACTTGACATAACACAAGAACCTGTTTATGTCAATGCGAAACAGTACGAGGGAATTCTAAGGCGTAGAAAAGCACGTGCCAAGGCCGAGCTAGAAAGGAAAGTAATCAACAGAAAGGTATTTTTTTTCATTACATCAAAATTGCAAACGTGGCAGCACAAGTTGGGATTCTAAGCGTGGTGTATACTGTATAGCCATTTTAAAGTGAAGCCCACTGTATGTAGAACTTATAAGATTCCGGTGTAACTCGGTTAACTTGTGGCATCTTCTGTTACAGCCATATCTTCACGAGTCAAGACACAAACACGCAATGAGAAGGGCAAGGGCTAGTGGAGGCCGGTTTGCCAAGAAGACTGAGGCAGAGGCAGCAGAGGAAGCAGCAGCTGGGAGAGAAAGAGAAAGGGTTTCAGCAACCAACTCATCAGGCTCCGAACCAGTTGAGACAGACTCTAATGAAACCCTGAACTCTTCAGGTGCACCATAATCTGCCAAACCTCTAAGAAAAAAAAAGAGACACGCTTTGGCTTACTACATCATTGCCTCAAACCGGCAAATCATTCTTGGCTTTTGGGTTTTGTGTTTGCTTACTTACTTGTCCTTGTCAGTGTCTCATGTTGTGTGTGGAGTTACAATGTACAAAGAGAAACCGAGTTATGTTTAGGTGTTATAGATTTGAGACAAAAGATTGGGGAATAGTCAGTAGGTCTTGTTTTTTATTCACTTTTCTTTGGAAAATTTGGAATATACATACGTTTGTTTAATCGTTTGCTTTTCTGATCTGAAAATGTAACAGAGCCGACATTGTTGTTCGTTTTTTGCTTTGATCAAGATGTGAATCTATACATGTAACTGATCACGGGTATGCATAAATGCATATTTAAAAAGTACAATAAAAGCAAAAACTATTATCTACAACGGGAAGATTGATTATTATCATATAAATATATAACACGAATACCACATGAAAGGATCAGAAAACACACAAAAACTAAAGTTAGGCGTTGTCATTCTTTGAATCTGTAATAGAGAAGCAAAAGAAGAGAGTCAATTTGTGTGTTTCTCTCGTTAGGAGAAGAGAGAGAAAGAGGAAGACTTTGACTCGTCTTCTTCCTTCCCCCTCTCTCTATCACTTGCATCTTGTTTTTTCACACCGTATGATATGACTTTTTCCCTTTTGATTTATTATCATTGTTAATACATATCTCTTTTGGCTTCAACTGATTCTAGACATTAAGTGTTCCTCTTGAGGTCTGTGTGTTTCCTTTTTTAGAATCTTTCTTTTGGTACTCTTAGCTAGGGTTTACTTATCCAATTTAAACCTAATTTACTGCTTTGTTGATTGGTACTAGTTGTAAGGCTTTAAGAAACTAATGGTAGCTTGGAGAGAATAGCTCAAAGTTTTGAACTTTATTTCTGGGTTTCGAGTAATGAAACTGTTTTGATGAAATTTTCAGGAAGTTCTGAGATTTGATTAGATGGGGAACTGTTGTGGCAGTCCGAGTTCAGCTACCATCGAGAATGGACAAGGGAAACCCAAGAACAAAGACAATGCTTTTCACAGCAACGAGAATGGATCTGGAGCTGGCTTTAAGCTCTCTGTGTTGAAAGATCCAACAGGGCATGATATATCTTTGCAGTATGATCTGGGACGAGAGGTTGGTCGTGGGGAGTTTGGTGTGACTTACTTGTGTACTGATATCCAAACAGGTGACAAGTATGCTTGCAAGTCCATTTCGAAGAAGAAGCTGAGAACAGCGGTTGATATAGGGGATGTGAGGAGGGAGGTTGAGATAATGAAACATATGCCTAAACACCCAAACATTGTCTCTTTGAAAGATTCCTTTGAGGATGATGATGCGGTGCATATAGTTATGGAGTTGTGTGAAGGAGGGGAGCTCTTTGATCGGATTGTTGCGAGAGGTCATTACACTGAGAGGGCTGCTGCTGCGGTTTTGAAGACTATTGTTGAAGTTGTTCAGGTTGCTTACAACTTCTTTTACATTGTCTGTGTGTTCTGCTCACAACTCACACCCTTTGTGTGTCTTTTGCAGGTATGCCATAAGCAGGGAGTGATGCATAGGGATCTTAAACCAGAGAACTTTCTTTTTGCAAATAAGAAAGAGACATCAGCTCTTAAGGCTATTGATTTTGGATTATCTGTCTTCTTTAAACCAGGTATTGGATGAGTATCAGTGGGGAGATTTTGTGTATCTTTAGTTTAACTTTGATATAATGTAACAGGTGAACAGTTTAATGAGATTGTTGGAAGTCCTTATTACATGGCACCAGAGGTTCTGCGACGAAACTATGGACCTGAGATCGATGTCTGGAGCGCAGGTGTCATCCTCTATATCCTTCTTTGTGGCGTCCCTCCATTTTGGGCAGGTTTGTCTATGCTCTTTGATTTGTTGGTGTGCCTTTTCTTACTGCAAAGTCGCTAGAATTATTCAGACAGGACCTCACTTAGATTTATCCTTGGTACAGAGACTGAACAAGGGGTGGCTCAAGCGATCATTAGGTCAGTAATTGACTTCAAGAGAGATCCATGGCCAAGAGTTTCCGAAAGCGCCAAAGACCTTGTGAGAAAAATGCTTGAACCTGATCCCAAAAAACGTCTTTCTGCTGCAGAAGTCCTCGGTAAGCTTCTGTTTTTTTTTAGTTTCTGATGGATGTTTTGAAATTGTATACTCATAAGGAGAGATTCTATTTGCAGAACATTCTTGGATACTGAATGCAAAGAAGGCTCCAAATGTCTCTCTTGGAGAGACTGTGAAAGCAAGGCTGAAGCAGTTTTCTGTTATGAACAAGCTCAAGAAACGAGCTCTACGAGTATTGATTCTGTTTAAAACCATGCGATTGATTCTCGATCTGATTCAGAAGGAAAAGATAATAATAACATTTTCTTCTTGTAGGTGATAGCTGAACACTTGTCAGTGGAGGAAGCAGCTGGGATAAAGGAAGCATTTGAAATGATGGACGTTAACAAGAGAGGCAAGATAAACCTCGAGGAGCTTAAATATGGACTTCAAAAAGCTGGACAACAGATTGCTGATGCAGATCTTCAGATTCTTATGGAAGCTGTATGAATCTTTTTACTTCTCTCAAGTGCTATGTCACGTCTGAGAAACTGAAACTCCTTATCTTTCTTTGTTTTCTCAACAGACTGATGTAGATGGGGATGGGACACTGAACTATGGTGAGTTTGTGGCGGTTTCTGTACACCTGAAGAAGATGGCAAACGATGAACACTTGCATAAGGCTTTCAACTTCTTTGATAAGAACCAGAGTGGTTACATAGAGACTGAAGAACTTCGTGAGGCTTTGAATGATGAATTGGATGATAACAGCAGTGAGGAAGTCATCGCTGCCATCATGCAAGATGTTGATACTGACAAGGTAACATTATATATTTTGGTATAAAATTCTTATGAATTTAAGATGATTAAGAAGACATATGTATCTTTTGTGTTTCCTGGCTATGATCAGGACGGGCGTATAAGCTATGAAGAGTTTGCAGCGATGATGAAAGCTGGAACAGATTGGAGAAAAGCGTCAAGGCAGTATTCAAGAGAAAGATTCAACAGTTTGAGCCTCAAGTTAATGAGAGATGGTTCATTGCAGTTAGCAGGCGAGACCTAGCAAGTAATGAAAAGTTTGGATCTTTTCTGAATGTCCCACAAGCATCTGTGTTGATGACAAACTGTCAAAGAGACATGGTTATGTTTTTAAAAGCGTTTTAACACGGTAATGATAGAGAAGAATTAGAAGATTGGTATTTGGTTTCTCTTTTTCTTTTTTTTTTGTTTCCTTGCTCACGTGTATTAGATTTAGAGTTTCAAATGTTTGAAGTTGTTCCATTGGATGATAGGCCATGTGATTTGATGATGTCGACAAGTTTCTGAGTTTCCAAGATGAGATTTTGTTTTCAACTCAATATACGATGAGAATATGCTTCAGTTAGTGTAAGAGACAGCGTGAGAAGCACGCGCGAGTTGGAATCAATTCGTTGTGATGCAGACCAAACACAAAAACTTAAAGAAGCGAAACCTTTTAAGAAAAAACAGAGCATATAATTTGATTAAAAAAAAAACAGAGCATCATAATAAAAATAGAATAAGTAAAGAAAGAATCTTCCTTTACGCACTCTGATTCTCTCCTCTCCTCTCCACTGCTCTCAACAGAGTCTGAAGAGCCAAAAGAGACGACTTTCACACACATCTCTCTCTCTCTCTGTCGCATCAATGGCAATCACGTCGTGCTTCTTCTCTGTTCCAACCCCAAACACATCATCCATCACTGAATCAAATCTGACATGGCCTCACCTCTCCTTCTCTCCTAGACTCTCTTCCTCATCCTCCTTTACCGTAAAGTCCATCTCTTTCAATCGCCGCGTCACTATTTCCCCTGTTTTCTCCGCCTCAATCGACAACAGCGGCGGCTCCGACAACAACAACGGAGGAAGCGGCGGCGGCGGTGGTGGTGGTGACGGAGGGAAGAATAACGGTGATGGAGACGGTGGTGAGGACAGGGACAGGAACAGGAGCGAGGCGATGATGCTATTGGCTGAGTCAGGGACAGAGTTGGAGAGTCTTCCAAAGGATCTAGCAGCTGCTATTGAGTCGGGTCGGATCCCTGGATCGGTTATCACCCGGTTCCTTGAGCTGCAGAGATCGGCTGTGATGAGGTGGCTGATGCAGTTTGCTGGGTTTAGAGAAAGGCTGTTGGCTGATGATCTCTTCTTGGCTAAACTCGCCATGGAATGTGGTGTTGGTGTCTTCACTAAGGTTTGTGTGCTTTTCTTTCTTATTCACTTTCATTATAAAGTTTGGATCTTTTTGGCTATTTGTTAGTGTTTCTGGAGAAAGGTTCAGGCCAATGTAATTAATTAGAATTGTTGTGTTATGTTATCTAATATGTTTTGGTTACAGACTGCTGCTGAGTATGAACGGCGGAGAGAAAACTTCTTCAATGAACTTGAAGTTGTCTTTGCCGATGTGGTAATCATTAATTCTTTTCTCTGCCTTTTTTTTTGTTTTCTCTGGTGTTGCTTCTGCAGGCCCATGTGTATCTAAAACATACTATTAGGAATTGTGAAATTGTTAGAGGGTAGGGAAGGATGAGAAAAATAATATTTTTAGATGACCTATTCAGATAGATGAAAGGTTGGGTAGTTTGTGGTTGTGACTTGTGTGTGATGGGGTCTTCCATTTTCTCACCTTTAGTTTTTTTTTTGCATGACTAGTTTATGACCAAGTAGTTGAGATTTGCTTTGTCTCTGGTAAGAACCAAATTTTTGAACAGTAGTATACCCACCCCATAGTCTCATTTGTTTTCAACTTATTATATCATGAACAGAAGGTTCACATTGACAAAAAAAAAAAGAATCGAAGGTTCACCCTTTTCTGCTATGTCACTTTGTAAAACAAAGTGTCACTGTCATATTTGCTTCTTTTTTTTTCTTGATTAGGTGATGGCTATCATTGCTGACTTCATGTTAGTTTATCTTCCTGCGCCTACTGTGTCTCTTAGACCACCTCTTGCTCTTTCTGCTGGTGGTATTTCCAAGTTTTTCCACAACTGCCCAGACAATGCCTTCCAGGTATCATTCTTCTTTTTTTGTTTAAGGATTTTTTGGCACATGTGACTTAAGTTTTGAACATCTCCTTCTCTTATAATTATCCAATGTGTTTGCTGCAGATTGCTATTTCTGGGACCTCATATTCTCTCTTGCAAAGGCTTGGCGCTATAGCTGTATGTGGTGCTCTTTTTTTTTTTTTTGTCATTTTCTTCCTTAATAAGGGCTGATCGTTTCTGGATATAATATATTATCGTTTGTATATGTTATGCAGCGTAATGGGGCTAAGCTATTTGCCGTTGGCACCACATCATCACTGGTGAGTCAAGTCAGAAGATGGATAATTTTCCATAAACAATATTACTAGACTCTGTGTTGCACATCACAAAAACTGATGTTTCTAGACTTGTTCTGACTTGACGAATATGTTTGTTTTAAATAGGTTGGTACTGCTGTTACAAATGCATTTATAAAAGCAAAAGGAGCTGTGGACAAGACTTCTGAAGGTGAAGTCGAGACTGTTCCAATTCTCTCCACAAGTGTTGCTTATGGTGTCTATATGGCAGTTTCCAGCAACCTAAGGTACTCAGTTTCTTTCTAAGTCTAAACAAACTACACAAGAAGTCTTTAACAAACAAAGGCGTAGTAGATATTCTACATTTTTGGCATATAGATTAGAGAAAGTAATGAGGTATGGTTTTGAAATAAACAGGTACCAAGTATTGGCTGGTGTGATAGAACAACGTCTCCTTGAGCCAATGCTACACCAACACAAACTTGCACTCAGTGCCATGTGTTTCGCTGTTAGAACTGGCAACACCTTCTTGGGTTCCTTATTGTAAGTCTTCTTGTAAACAGACAAACCTGGTTCTTAACTTTCTGTCCTCAGCAATCTTTTATTTACATGTTCTTTGTTTTTTTTTTTTGTCTCAGATGGGTGGATTATGCACGCCTCATAGGTATCCAGAAATCTCATTGATAAATCAGAAGAACATGATGAGCTCGATTCAGACATGATCTGCTTCATCTTACGTATACGAAACTACGTTCTTCATTCACGATTTGTTGCTGATTTTTGAGTTATTTTGTCCTATTTTCTACAAAACTAGTCGATGTTTCCATGCAAACCAAGGCTTTTTTTTCACAAAGCACATAAAAGACTTTATGCATTTGAGTTTTGAAACACTCTCACTGTCATCTATTTCACTGCAACTAGAAATAATACATCATATCAATAAAATAACAGATTATTAGACATATATGACCTAAGCAAGAACTTCATCTTTGTGACAAGCTCTTATCTTCACTTCCAAAGTGTCTGAACTGCTAACCTTGTCCACATCACAGCACTCGATTCCTTCACTCTGTTAATTATTTCAAAGTAGGTTATGCTTTCAAGCTTTAGATCACATATATAAAAAAGATTATGATTTGCTAAAAAGATTCATATATTGGTTACCATCTTATGCATAGTAGTAGCAATGACCCGAACTTGTGAATTGTTACCAGCAGATTGATTGACATTTGGCAAGCAAGGAGGTAAACTACCTAGCGTTTTCACCTTATACATAGTAGTCACCAAGCTTTGGTTCTTGTCCTCTACAACAGAGTCAAAGAAAAACTGACGAGGCATCTCACACGGATCATTCGTCACCCGTCTCGTGTTAAATGTATACAAAGGTATTCTAACATTCTTCCACGGCCGGAACGTTTCAAGAGGGCGTTTCAGGTAGTTTCTTGGTAATATAGATTGGTAAACATGGACTGAGTAGCCCCAAGATACAGATACTGACCAGTTGTTTCCTCTTTGGTAACATATTGTCTGTTGGAGGATACGGGTCTGGTCGGTTTTCGCGGTTTTCATGAGGTGGTTTACTGATTCCTGCCGGTTCATGGCAGGGAATATAGGGTTTATGACATCGAAATGGTGGAGACTGATAAGTGGTGACTGAGGATGAGCTGATAAGAGACCTGATATGTCACCGTGCAGATCAATCTATTCATTACATGACAAGCAAAGATGGAGTGAGTGAGTGTATGTTAATAAAGCAGAAGAATCATTTTCTTGTGTTACAAGAAACAAGAGTGTTCAGTTAGTTCCTACCTGGTGGATGCCTTTGTTCATAGTAAGATCAATTCCCAAGTCAGCCAAGCAACGAAATGAGAGAAGATCGCTATAAACTCCAAGGTACCTTGCAATACAATCTTCCATTTTGTTGAGAAGTGTCTCCACCGTTGGATAGCTCAATGCATATCCTCCACCTCCATATCCCATGTCAAACGAGAAAATCGAGTTAGACCAGACGTTTTCTGAGTTCATCCCTATGTAATAGTGTTTCTTGTGGTCATACAGCTCCAAAGCTTTGACTAAGTTGTCCAAGAAGAAGAGAGTATCATCATCAGCTATCACAAACCATCTAATTGTGTCTTTGTTGGCCTTGTTAAACGACTCATGGAGTGATTGAAAAAGGCGGATCTGAGTCTTGAACTTTGCGTTTGTGATGGATGAGTCTTTGTTAACAATGAAAGGAGGAGATTGTTGAGGCCAAGGCAAGAGGTCACGACCAGGTGGTTTTTCTAGAAAGACATGTCCTCTTGTGATGTTTGGTCTCCACCATGGCTCTATGTAGCCTCTTCTATGCCTCCAAGTCTTTGTACTACCAACGATGACAAAGAGTAGATGGCTGATATTTGTTGGAGACTCTCTTGATGTTTGTGAGGATGAAGGTGTGGATATTTCTGAGGAGGAGAAAGTGAATTCAAGAGGTGCAAAGAGTTTATGGGTTATCATTTTATGTGGATGGTTAAATGCAAACGTGTGTAGCAAGAAAAGTAGAACACCGGAAATGGCTATGGACTTCCATAAGGTAGATAATGATAAGTTCTGAGAGATATGACTCAGTTTGGTATTGTTGTGGTTCTCAAATGCCATTGAGAGAGTAATAAACACAATAAAATGATTAATTTGATAAATCTGAACATAGAGGATTGCTACCGTTATATACGTATAGGAAAAGTTAGTTAATAAAGTAAAAGAGGAATGTTGATCATGAGAGCTGATGTGCGTAAATCATGTGGTTAGATGTTAAAGCAGGTGACTAATATTTAAAACTACACAAACTTTTCTCGTTTTAGGGATAAAAGGGATACAAAAGAAGTCAAGAACGGGTGGTGAAAACAATTTTCATGCAGCTTCTGTATATTCACAATTGCGTGTAACCATTTTATTTACATTACCATACTTTCTCAACCAATCTTGGACCTTCAGTCTTACGTATGACACTTTTGTTGTTTCTTTCACTTTGTAAGAAAACACACTAAAAATATACTATATGTTGTGAAATAAAGAAGAAGGTTGTAACTCTGTATATCTTATTCATCACGTGCACATACATATATATACATACAAGAGAATAAGCATATTCCTTAGGAGATAAGGATTACAACAATAAAGGGGATGATTATCCTAATCCTATAATGATTAGGATAACTACAACATATGGATAAACACAAGGGAGGATAGTGACTGA